TGTTCATTCTGTTTCTTGAGCCTCTCAGACGCATTCCGGCGGGCGGGGGGCGCTGGGCGGCGGGTGGGGTCGCTCGCGCGTTCCTCTTACCTATCATCTAAACTATGATTGTTTTCTGTTTAATTATAGTTTCTATCATATATGCACATACACATCGATAACATTACCGGCTTAATGCATTTTTTTTCTTCGATGAACATACGTTTTCCAGAGCGAATGTACATAAATAATGGCTTATTGTAGATGGCGTAACGAAGGAGAACTAGAATATTGTCTTTCATTTGTTTTGATTCACTATTTGTATGTATATGAATGTGCGTTCAATAACAAACAAATAAGAGTGATTTGATTACGTACATTTCTTCCTAGTTTTGTTCTTCTTCTTCTTCTTCTTTTTCTTTTGAACCTTTTGTTTCATATTGAAAACAGGTGCTTTTTTTGTGTTATTTTTTTTTTCTGCTTTTTGTTTTTCGTTAATATTCATTTTTTCATGCTGTGATGTGTTTAAATGAGCGAGTATGTGTATGTGGTTCCAACTAGAGACTAAATTAGGCAGCCAGTTGTGCAGTTATTGACTTTTTTGTTATTATACCTTCGTTTTTCTTTTTTCATGTTCTCGCTATTGAACAGTTAACAATGATACAGAAAACCAAGCATTATTTGTTCTCTTGTTGTTTTGTTTTTTGCTTATTGATGTTTTGTCTATATCCTTGAATCAAAGCAGATAAAACCATAATGAATGACAACAAAATAATAGTTGAACATGCTTGTTCATATGATGATAATTACTAGTGCATCTACTAATTATACTAACAAAATTTAGTAATATAAGATTTATTAACATTGTTCTACGAAATGAACATATATTGATATCAAATTATATATATATATATACGTATAAGGATCACAAAAAGTCCTATGACTGGATACAAAGTACATCAATTTCAACCTTTAAAGATAATATTTTCACTAAACATTGAGCTCAGTTTAAACTCTAATCATGAGAAGCAATCCGAGATCGAATAACTGTAATGTAATGGATGAAGAATGAAAAAAAGAACAGTTGCTTCTTCGCTATGACTCAAAAAAGGATTTTGTTTTTAATACTTGTTTTTGTTACTCCTCTATTTTTAATGAATTCTGGCATGTTGAATCACGAATCTCTTCGTCGTTGAAGGTTATTTTCATGCTATTTTGAGAGACAATTTGATAAGAATAAAGCATTCATTTCAAGATGAACGGTTGAAATTTATCGAAATTATGAGTCATATTTTGACAAATACTATCAGTCGTGAGATTTGTTTCTTATGCTTAACTATTCTGATTTGAAGAAAAAGACTATGTTTACCTACGATCCTCCTTCTCATGATGATCAATCAAGTCTTGATTATTAACTTTTTATAATTCAAATACCATGACACGTCAAAATTTTATTAGTACCAATCATTTCAAATCAATGTTTACGTTTTTTATATCATTTACATTGAGAAGATGCGAATAATTCTTTAGAAATAGAAGTTTTTACTAATATTTATCGTGCAAAACATATAATTTACAAGAAAATCAAAATATTTTAATACAAAAAAAAAAGAAAATAGTCAGGTAAATAAAATGATAAAAACGAGTTTTTATTATCATTGAAAAAGACTTGACATATTTAAGTGTGTTTGCAAAACTGGAAAATTCTTTATATGCTTTACTCCAATTAAATTCTTGTGCAAGACATAACTTTTTGTCAATCATCATCATCACTGTCGCGTATTAAGTAACAACATCCGATTGATGTAAGTCTATATCATGCAGAAGTAATTAACAAAAAAAAAGATACACGATAAAGCACACGTATTCTGATCTGACTTTTCCTTTACAGCTATGAACAAGTTTTATCTCATTATTTCGGTCACTCGTTTTAGTCTTTTCGAACTAAAGAAAATCAACTCATTGGGTAGAAAATTTTTCGCTCTATAAAAATGTGGATTTTGTTTTCTCGATAAGTTTTTCTTGTCGCTGAATAATTGGAAAGGTTAAGGTTTGCTTCATTGCCTAGCTACAATAGCCTGCTATTTTCTGCGGACATCTAACAATTTGTGTAAACTTGTGCTCATCAAGTTGAATGCTAAATATAAAGTATTTAACATCAATAGATATTGAGTTTAATACTCCAAAGATCTTTTCATGGGTCGTAGTGATGTTTTTTAAGTGCAAAAGGCTTAGAACTAACGCTTAGTGTTATTTTATTTTTAATACGCTTTCGAAACTCGTACTTTTTAAAGTTAGCATCCTATGTAAACAATTATATATTATATCTTTGGATGTCGAATTTAAGTCTGTAGAAAATGATGTAACATGTAAATTGAACAATGAACACTTTTAGATTGCTTTTAATGGTGTAGGGCTGTTAGAAAGAGTCTTTTCTGTCATTTTCTAATTTTCGCTTGAAAAATTGTTCTTCCAATTGATTTTTCTAAAATGGCAAAACATCACAAGATTCAACATTTCAGTATGTGTGTATCTTGCAACGTACTTAGAATTTTGGCGGATTATTATTTAAACATATTTTTAAAAATTGTTCTTTTATTTTCTGACATTTCTAGTTTAATAACTGAGTGACTGTCAATCTTTTTGATTTTTCTACGACAAGAAAAACTTATTTGCAGAACAAAATCGACAGTTCCGTAGAGTAAAAAATTCTATATCGAATGATCTTAGAACAGTGTCTTTAAACCGTGTTGCTGTGTCCAAAAATGGAAGTCAAAGTGTTCCATTCTTTATGGAGCATCCGCTAGTATAAAGCTATTTATAAAAAGTTACACATAATTTGTCATTGTGTATAGCTCATTGTAAAAAATAAATTTTTAATTCATAATAATATTCCAGTTACTAGTGACCTCAATATGTCAAATATTTTACTTGTTTGATTCGCCGAACTAGAAAACCTGTAAAAGGTAAGTCAAACAGAACAAATATTACAACGATCTTGAGCAATTCTTGTTGACAAGAAGAAAAAAAACCGCAGCAAGGTTAACTTTCATTTTCTTAGTTGTTTTGTGCAAAAAAAGGAAGAATAATATAATTTTTCTAGTTAGTTTTTCTTGAACAGAATCATTTCTATTAAAATAAAAATGGTATCAAACTCATCGAAAAAAGGACGTGTATCACGTTCAACACGTGCTGGAATCATCTTTCCAGTCACTCGTATGCATCGTTATCTTAAAGCGGCTCCAACTTCTACGACTCGAGTAACAAAAGGTGCAGCTGTTTATTTAGCAGCCGTAGCTGAATATCTTGTTGGTAGGTATAATTAAATATTTTATTTATAATAAAAACAAAAACAAAACAATAATAACAATAAAATTAATTTTATCTAAAGCTGAAGTACTTGAATTGAGTGGAAATGCAGCACGTGATAATCGACGAACTCGAATTATACCAAGACATGTTCTACTTGCTATAGCTACTGATGACGAACTTAATAAAGTAAAATAATATGAAAGAAAAAGCATGTAATGCATATGTTACCTTTTAGTTACTTCGTGGTTGTGTAATACCACAAGGTGGCGTTCTTCCATCAATTTTTCCGTTTCTTCTTCCAAAAAATACTGGTGATAGTCCAGACCAATCATCATCATTTTCATCACGAGCATCAACAGTAACAAAAACAAAAGCAGCTGGTAAAAGTACAAAGGCTAGTGGACGTAAACCAGCTTTGACAAAAGGTCTAGGAAGTTTTACTGTTTTAGGAACACCTAAATCAAAGGTAAAAATCTTGATTATTGATTGTAAATGTATAGAATTTTATATTCTTACATTTTAGGCGGCTGCACTTAAAGGTACTGCAGTAACAACACTTTCTGAACGTGTTCTTATTCGTGGACAAAAGGTATGACAAATATTGAAAAATAAATGTATTTTTTAAATATTTATTTTAGTTGACTGTTGTTCAAGGAAATATTATTAATATCACGGCTGATGCGATTGTTCATCCAACGGGTACTTCACTCAGTATGAGTGGTGAAGTTGGTTCGTATTTTCTTTGTTTTTCATGCAATAAGAATTCTTTTATTTCTTTTTTCTTCTCAAATAAAATTAGGCCATGCTTTGTCTAAAGCAGGAGGACAAGAATTACGAGATGCTTTATCTCAAGCAGCAAAAACTAAATCATTAACTAATGTTGGAGATGGTAATAGTTAATTGTTAATTTATTTTTATATTCATATTTTTGATTGTTTAGTGATGATTACTGATGCACCTAATCTGTCTGCATCACATTTAATTCATGTTAATTCACCAACATGGAATGCTGGTACACAAGAACAATGTATTACTGAACTTGACAAGGCTACTTTAAATATTCTTACTTTAGCCGATGAAAAAGGTCTTACATCTGTTGCATTGCCAAGTATTAGTAGTGGAAAGTATGTAAAATATATATTTGAAAATTGTGAAATAATATTTTTGGTTATTATTTAGTGCTGGATTTCCGAAACAAACAGCTGCTCAAACAATTTTAGCAGCTTTATCAAAATATTTTCGACAAACAGCAACAACAAATCTTCAACAGGTCTTTTTTGTTTTATACGATGCTGAAAGTGTTAATGTTTATACAACTGAACTGCAACGTATGGTTGAATAATACTATTGAATGAAATAATACTTGATTTAACTAAGATTTCTATCGTTTTTTTTTTCTTCTAACCGTCCGTATATATCATTATGCTTTGCTTGTATTTGTTGTGTAAATGCTGTGATTTTCTTTTAAATTAAAAATAAAAATAATTCGAAATAAATTTATTCAAACAAGAAAAATCAATAAACAATAATTTTAATTTTTAGAATCTATATTGTCATTTAATGGCACAAGAAGAATGTAAATCCATTGATCTTGAAGATATATTTTTTTATGATCGTCATTCATCTCAACAATATATACTCAAACTTTCATTAACAAATCTTTCAATTATTTTAAAACAAGATGAAAATAAAGCTAAATCATCATCTATAAATAATACACGAATTATACCAATTGATGATATTTATGGATGTTTATGTATGAAATCAACGAAAAATTCTAATCAATGTTATTTAACATTTTATTTGTATATATTAAAACGATCACATACATTTAGTGGAATCGTTTCAAAAAAACGTGACTTTCATCGAACACAACATACATTTATATATGGAAAATATAATGATTATGAAACAAATTATGCTGAAATAATACGATGGCATAATAATGTAACATATGCAATTTATTTACGACGAAATCTTCCTTGTAAATTTTATTTATATTTTTTTTGTTTGTTTAAAAAAAGTACAAAAATTTTATTTAATAAATTTAGTTGATATTATGACAACAAAACGTGATAAACGTGCACTTGTTTTTGTTAATCCAGCTGGTGGTGCAGGTAAAGCTTATCGTCTTGTTATGGAATATGCCGTTGGTATATGGAGTGAAGCTGAATTTAATTATCAAATAATTGTAACAGGTAACTAAACAAAAAACATTTTGTCAAAAAAAAAAAAATTTATATTGTATTTTACTATCATAGAATATGCTGGTTATGCTCGAGAATATGTACAAACATTAGAATTAAGTGAATGGAGTGGAATTATTCTTGCTTCCGGTGATGGACTTATTTATGAAGTGAATAATGTTTATTTTTTCTAAGTACAGTAAAACTTCCCTTAGATGGGCACCGTCGGGACTTTTTTAAATCGCCCACTTAACGGGGATGCCCTTGTCATAGAGGTTTTTACAGATATTGGTCACAAACACTAATCATACATATATATTACCAATCTATTCTTAGACCATCGATTGTATCAGGATTTCACTCTCATTATTTAATGTCTTTTCTTCAACTAAGTTTATTTTCTATTTTCTTATTTACAATCAAGTTTTTCGAAAAAAATCCGTAATTGAGCTTTGCTTGTTGGCTTTTGAATCAATGTAAAATAATCGTTGATCAATTCGATCTTCTTGTCAAGCNCGATAACATTATCTCAAATATATAGTTTTTATTTCAATAGAATCACTGTCAAGTGAAAGCCAGCTTTAAAGTAACAAATGACCTACAAACACTCAAGACATAAACTACAACTGAGGCTTTTTTTAAATGGTCAATTTTCGCTAAATGTTATTTCTTAAACAAGCTGAAAATATTCGATTTCAATTTATCATCGAAAAACGAATAGAAAAAATATCATTTATTTGGATTTGAATCTAGTAAAAATCGAAAAAACTGCTTCATTTAGATAGCTTGAATATACATCTTTGAATGAAATATTCACCATACTAATTATACTTTAGATTGTAGCCTTTGGAAGACAAATCGATTTTAATTACGAAGATAACTTACGTCCTTCATCGTAGGAGTATCTATGATACATTACTATTTATTTTAACAGAAACAGTCAGCCATTCAATACTCCTAATTGAACTTGAAAATACCCATTTTATCGAGTAGTTCATACATGAGATATGTCTTCTTGCATCTAATATTTATTTTTCTATTCAAGTATCGATGTAGTAGAATGATGGGAATCGACTCAGAAATACAACGGACGAGAATTCAATCAGTTTGCAAGCCTAAAGTTTGGATAATACAAAAAATCAAAACAGAATTTAAAATTGAAAGTAATTGTTGCATTCACCTATAAATCTAATGAAATCGATCCTCCTACTAAATCTTGTACAGTTTATATCGCTAGTATAAATCCATGATACACAGTAACTATTTAATTAGTTGTGAAGAACGATTGCTTAACTACTAGATAGGTATAGACATTTACCAATAAGAAAATACCTTAACTTTTTTTAATCGAGAGAAGGAAAGCTTTACTTAAAGCGAAACAGGTACGCCGATTCGAGTCCTTTTCAGAATGAATCAATATTATCGAAAGACTGCTAGTTTTTATTGAAATAAACAACAATTCATGAAACAGTTCCCCGAAGTAGAGTATTCAAATTATCATTGCCAATAGAAATTAAATTAACATTGAATGCAGACGATATGAAATATTAGACCGAGATTGTTGTAATACATATTCGTCGCTAATTAGCTGCGAAATTTTCCATGAGAGAAAAAACTTGAGTTTCAAACGAAAACTTTCAAGATATAAAAATAGATACCAGATACTGTAATAAAACTTTAAATAAATACAATAAAAGCATTTCTTTCTCTAATATATGGAACATATAAATTGGAATTTCTTTTTCCTAGATTCACATTCAGCCAATTCCATAAACCAGCCATATTCATATTCTATAATAAATAATACAGATCAACCATCATATTATCCGTATTCAGCAGCGTCACATCCGCAAATACCTAGTTCTTATATGTCAAATAATGGTATAGAACAGTTTAAGATTAATTTATCAACATTGTTATTGAAATTATATTTCTTTTTAGCATCTCCTGTACAACTATGGAATCAAATGGGATGTCAATTTCACATGAATCATCAATCAGTAAATATAAAATTTCTTTTAATTCTCAACAAACTTTTCATATCTATTTAGTATATCAATCAACAAATACCTGAGAGTTATCCTCAACAATTTCATATTCCTCTTACATCATTTATGCCTGCGAATAATCTACGACCAATGGTTAGTCTAATAACAAAAACTTGATAGATATTATGTCAAAAATCCTTTCTGAACAGAATCCTCCATCGTTTCCTATTCTACGACCACCAAATGAAAATGTAAATTGTTCACAATACATCTCACTAAATAGATATCCTCTAGCATATGCACCACAAAATAATAATGTTCCGTCAGCATCAACTGTTTATCCACAAGCATTATTTCCAAGTACCGTTTTTTTCTTATTTATAAAATAAATCAATTTATTATTTTTTTTTTCTGTTTTGATCAGCTTATTTAATACCAACACATTATCCAATGCCTTCAGTACCATCAACAGTTGCCAATCAACCGAAAATACCACAGGAGCCACCAGTTACACACCCTGATCTAAAAGAACAAATACAAAGTCATCAAACACAAGATACAAAAGTATTTCTATTTTTTTATTTAAACTTAAAAATTTCAAGCAAAATCTCTTCTTCTAGATCGATGAAGGAACAGTAGCAACATCTCAGCCTACAATAGCACAAAGTGTTCAACAATCGAATTTATGTGCACCCATAATATCATCTAGAAAGAAGAGAAGACAAAAGAAAAAATCGCCATATCCTTTGAATTCCATATTACATAAATCTGAAAAAGTTTCTACACAATCAATAACTTCGGCTACGACGATGTCATCAATATCTTCAACAATAATAACGACTGAAAATCGAGCTATTGAATCGAGCACGACGAATACAGTTAAATCGAGTGTCAAATCAAAAAATAAAATAAAAAAACAAACTGAAATTCCACAACAATCTCCTGTTATACTTGCTGCGTCTTCTAATATTCAAACAGATAAGGTATAAAAATAAATTTATTAGATATTCTTCGAAATATTTCAAAAGTCAGCCAATGAAATCCCTGATAACGTGGACGTAAATGCGGAATGCTAGAGTCACCAGCTATGGCTGTGCTAAGAATAGTATCTTGAAGATCTTTTAGAAAAAAAAGCATCATAAAACGGATTAAGCATTATAGAAGACAACGAATTTATTATGAAATCGTTTTTCTTTTCTTTATGATTATTTAGTCTGATAATCAAATATCGGCAATGAATGAAGAAATTAGTAAGACTTCATTGAAATCACAACAAACACTATCAAGCACAACAACAATAATCAATGATGGAAAACCAAAGAAACATTTCCATTATGATCGTCAAGAACTTCTACTTATTCGTGATAGTTCAGGACCATTTTCGGCTCCACAACGTCTTGTTGGTCTCGATATTTTTATTAATCGATGTGATGATAATAATAATAATAATAATAATAATACAAGTGATTCATGTACTAATACAAATAGTCAAAAACGTGTTAATCGTTCCTGTCTTCAAAAATCATTAGGTACTAATCGTCAATCATTAAAACATGATCAAAATAATCGCAGACTAACAAGCAATTTAAGTCATAAAATAGAAAATCATGTATCAACTAAATCTGATTTTAGTAATCAGATTACAAAGCCTTACATCCCAGTCGATCAAAATAAAATTGATGCTGATAATAGATTTTTATGTGATGTTACATCCATAGTAAATAAATTAACACCACAAACATATGATCAATTACAAAAACAACCTGCAGCTTTAGATTTTGATTGTTATGAAAAACTAGAAGGAATGATTATGATATTGCATTCTAAAGTAAATTTTCTTGTTAGTTTTTATTAAATAGCACTAAACATCTTTCGTGTATTAGGCTATAGATGAACCACACTATAGTTTTCTATATGCAAAATTATGTAAACAACTTCGAAAAGTATATTTTCTATTATCAATTTCAATTTATTTGAATTTATCTTCTAGAAATATGTGGATATAATAGATAAAGATGGTAGATAAAAAAATATACGCTTCGCCTATTATCGATGATATGTTGTAAGAAAGAATTTGCGAATGGTGATATACAAGAAATTGAATATGAAAAAAGAAAGCTTGAACTTGAAGCTATAAAAGATGAGAAAAAACATCAAGAACAAGCTGAAACATTAGAAGATCTTATTAAAGCTAGAAGAAGAAAATTAGGCAATATTGTGTTAGTATATTTATGAACTATAAATTACTACTAAAAACGACAAACATACATTGATCCTTGGAGATCGATTTTGTTTGTATCTCTTATCATTCTTATACAGAAAAGTTTTCTACAGCTCTGCACCGTGTTCCACTCTATGTTAAAAAGTTACATGCTGCGAGATATTTGATAATACTGTCTCTTAGAAATCTGTGTCAAATGTCGCATACAAATAAACAAAAAACAAGTATCTGATGAATTTACAGTATGGATTAAAAAATTTTATAAACTCTGAAATTTATTCATTTGAGATCAATTCAGATAATAGATGTTCTGTTTTTTATTATCTTCTCTGAGTTTTTCTTTGATTAGTATATGATAATACAAGATAATTCACTAAAAATTATAGAAACTTTAACTCTTTTTTTTGAGTTCATTTCAAATATTTTTGTCTCTCAGTTGTAGACCTCGCCCCCTATTACGTCATTAGAGTTGAATGAGATGCAACTATTAAATATGCCAGGTACCACAATAACTTGAGCTGGGTAGTGATAAGAGTAATATGAATAAATATCGAATATGGATCAAAATTCAAAGTATATTACTGGACAAGAAAATAGAGAGAAGTAACTTAATGAACAAGTAAGAAGTTGAAATTATTAGTTAATAAAAACAAGAGTGAAATAGATAATAATATTAATAATGATAATGAAGCGCGGAAAAAGGAAAAACGAAATTAAAGATAAAACAAATGTATACACATACACAACAAACATCAATATGACAAGATACTTGTTTTTTTGTTTATTTGTATGCGACATTTGACACAGATTTCTAAGAGACAGTATTATCAAATATCTCGCAGCANCATTCAGTATTATCTTTTCGAAGATCAACGATTCTCATCCAATCCTGAAAGTGTGTGTTTTTTGTCTTTATTAGATGATCTAATTATTTTCTCGTCAATCTAGATCGATTTATTGATTTAGTCTGTCAAGGTTCATAATACTCAATAGAACATGCGAAATATTTTCGTCAAAAATCATCAATAGTATTCTCGACCAAGCAGTTCATCTAGCCTTCAAATTCAATTCAATCTCTTCGATCGACTCGATCATTCAGTCAAAACATTGACTCAACTTGTTCTATCAACTGCTTATCTCCTGAAGCAGATTTGGTTAACTGTCGATGAACTTGTCGACAAACTCGCATCAGTCATTGCTACGAACAAGAATGATGCTCTTACTCGACTTTGCCATGATTTTCTTCAATTCACCAACGAATCTCGTGAAATACACAAATTGTCATCTAAATAAAACATCAATATCGAATTAAAAGTGATTCTATGTTGAAAATAATGTAAATAGAAAACTCGATGAATGGAAGACGTATGTATTCTGGAAAAAGAGTTTAGAATGTAGATAGATGCGAGACGATTAATTGATCTTGAGAATGAGAGTTTATATCGTTGAGCAATTTCACAGCTTTTGATTGTTCGAGAACGAAATGATAGAGGAGAGGTGCAACTAGTTTTCCTGTTGATAGTGTTCAATTTTTGGATTGTATTCAGTAATATCCGCTAATTTGACCAAGAGACAAATTCCAGCTTAAAAACAAAGATCATACGCTTGTTGAGTTGTGAGATCGACAGTTGCTGGTGCATTGACACCTAGACATGAGTTAGATATAATTGAATCGATATCGAACGAGACAAATATTGCACTTTGTCGTTGAAAAGCTTGGTCGAGAATACTATTGATGATTTTTGACGAAAATATTTCACATGTTCTACTGAGTATTATGAACCTTGACAGACTAAATCAATAAATCGATCTAGATTGACGAGAAAATAATTAGATCATCTAATAAAGACAAAAAACACACACTTTCAGGATTGGATGAGAATCGTTGATCTTCGAAAAGATAATACTGAATGAGCTTTGTTTCCTTCTTTCAATGAACGAACATCGAACTGAGTATCAATAGTAATCAAACACAACGATTATTGCTTATTTCGTTTTGAGTGGTGGATGATTTCGCTTGCACAGCAGCAAGCAAGCCAGACTGTAGTTGCAAGAGGTAATTTACTGATTGAGCTCTTTCCAATAGATACAAAGACCACAGTTCGTGATTTTTCGAGACCAACATTTTTCAGAGCTGGTCTCGGTCCCGACGATGAATGAAAATAAAATCTAGCCTCCTTCATTAGATACACTACATTTTTATGTTCCTAAACAATGAGAGCAATGTTCAAAGCATCTCGTTTCAACATTCGAAATCACTTTGGAAGAAATTTTTTCTCTCATGAAATTGGCTTGAAAAACTCATTGTTGAAATAGTTGTCGATCTCGATCACATAGAAAAATAGAATTATTGAAATTATATCTCTTTAAACCATTTTTCTCTACGACATTTTCATCGGTTGTCAACATTTGCTGATTCAGTGTTACTTCATCTGAGTATTGATTCTGCGCTGTTTTTCTTAGAAGTTGAAAAACACTCATTGCTGACAATAAAAAAAGTGCGCCATTCTTCATTTTCTTATCGAATTTTTGCTGCGCACATGAAAGCAGCTATTCAAGTGCCCCTTGTGCAATGAAAGCAAAATAAAGCAACCTGATGAAAATTATTGAAACTGCGTTCAAACATGTTCCAGCATCATCCATTACCTTTTATCACACGTTGAAAATAAAAATCGTTCTTAATTAAAGTTCACTGTATAGATTCAAGTGAGAAAAGAGACCCTTGTAGAAGGGCTAAATCAGTGATAGTTTCTCGATCAACTAAATCCAATGTCGTCAAGTTCAAATTAACTATATTGGAAACACGAGAGAATGTCTGCCACGTTTCCTTTGTGTCCTTTCAACTTCATTCTATCCGTCTTTTCATATTTTTCGAATTCATTGAGAAGTATTAAAAATTTATTAAAATATCTGTTAGTAAGCTCCATATGTCATACTAATCAGCATAGGTTTAAGCCGAGAGGAACACATGTGAAGAAGTGAAACAATAAAGCTATTTTCAAGTAAAAATCAGTTGAAAAAACAACTTTCGATTTTAACTATCATAATTCTGTTTGCCATCTACACAAGAACCAACATCGGAAGACACAAATAGCAGTGTACCAAAAACACGGATGCAAAGTAGCAGTATCACATAATAGAGACAATAAGGGGAAAAGTTAGTGAGTTCACTTGGTTTTAGGAGATGACGTAGGACCAATCGTCCAGGGCCTACTGTCAGCCACCTCGTGAAACATTTTGGACTCGACCACCACCACTGCTCGATCCACTAAAAGTAGAAGATTGATTTACATTGTATATTAGAGAAAATTCTTTTGACTATAGCTATTATCTACCTGACATGACCATTACATCTATATGTTTTCGGTCCACCTCATCCATTTTGGCCAATGAACGTATAATTATCACACAAATCATCTGCATTATACGTATCCCACTGAGGAGCTATCAACGCTTTATTTCGTGGATAAACCCAAAACTGATGGTCGCGATCAGGATCGCCATGATAAATTTTTTCCGACATAGCTATCTAAAACAATGTGAAATTTTTTCGTACTATTTGTTTCTAAGAAAAAGTTAGGTTGGCTATTTTGTGAATATCTGCTGAATACAAATATAATGTTCGAACCTTTGAGTCGTAGGAATAGTACGCATATCAACTACCTATCATGAAAGTTTCATTCTAGCAAAAGCAATCAGATACCAAGAAGGTTTGGTCCGGTTACTGTTTCGTTCTTTTTATGATTTATATTTACGTCTTCAACGAAAGGCAAGGAATCATAACAGACAGCAACGATGTGTAAAAAACATGAAACAGCGAGCGAATAAACTAATGAAGGAAAAAAGTAAGAAGTTGCTGCCATTAATACCTACTTTCAAAACCAACAACAAAATTACGAATGAAAGTTGTTCTGTGTCGTTGCTCCCTTTTTTATGTGATTTCTTTCCACCTCTTCAGCTGAATTCCTATAACTAGCAACCGAGATAATGATTGGAATAAAAAAACAAGTAGGGAGGGCATGTAAGAATGAACGAAAAAACTATTACCAGCCGCCAATGCCTTCTTACAGAAAGAAAAAAGAAATCGACAATGAAGATTGATTTTGTCCTGTGGCCTTCTTTCTCTCTGTGCGTTACTTTTTTTTTCACTTTTATCGATTCATTTTATTACCTAGAGAGCGGAACTACTGGGATAAAACCCAGCAAATGCGAGAATGTATTAACGAAAGAAAGACTGAATTCTCTCTAATCAAAATGCTTACCCTCAATACAAATATCGAAATTGCAAGTCAAGTGTTTTTTTTTTTGGTACAACTTGCTGATTATATGATATTTTTCACGCCTTCAACCCNAGCCCGCTCGAATGGTTTTTTTCTTATACTCTCAATGAATAATCCACATGGCCGTGTCACTTCCTATTATATTTAAAAACTTTGAAAGGCTACTTTTGCTTTCCATATATCCGTAGTGTAGAAATTTACAGCGTACTGAACTATTATTCTTCGATGATATGCCATTGAAAGTTGTACGAAGTGCTGTATGATGTTAAGTTGATAGGGATTTAAAAAAACCTTCTAAACATTTAAAATATGATGAAAAGGGATACCATTATGTCTACAGTCCATTTTTAATATAATAAAACTCATTAGAACAGGACTAAAAGAATTCAATCATACAGTTTTTATAGAACTTTTCTAGAGCGCATCGTTTAGACAAGAGTTCGCTATTTATCGTTTTTTGCAGCCGAAATATCTGTAAAGTACAAATTGTTATCATATCGTCGGCTCGTTGTATTAAAAAAATGTTACGCTTTCTTCGAACGCATTGGTACATTCTAAATTCCATTTTATATTTAACACAAATATAACAAAAAGATATAACACGCAGCGAGCTTTCTAGAAGCAGCAAAAATAAAAACGAAGGAAGAGAGAAAATTAAATGGTTTTCAATGCATATTTTAAGAGCGTCGGGACACGTTCAAACTAGTAGTTTACTTTAAACCCTTGGGCTTTACTACTTTTGACGTGTTCTAAATTTTCATAGTACTAATGAATAAAAAGCTCTCAGGTTGCACACTGCACTTTCTATTCAGCTTTATTGAGTTTCTCTCGGGCATACCTCAAGGCTGTACATATGTCTATTTAAAAATGCAGCTTGGTACACAAAAAAGTTTTATCATCCTTCAACTGTAGTTAATCCTTATGCTTTCTACGTTTTTGTTCTACCACAAAGCAAAATCTTAAAGATAGTATTTAACAAATCTGAGAATTCTTTTTTTCCTTTGTTGTTCTTTTTCGTTCAGTCAGACGATGCTGTAAATTATTACATACTGTTTGTGAAAATTTGATAAATTGTTGAAAATACTGCTCTATAATATCATCAGACAGAATTACACATCTCATAGATGAACGTTGTATAGGAGAAAAATACAATTTTAAGATTGTATCTACAGTACAATTCCTCTCTACAATATTATTCAAGCTTTAATCATATAAAAACTCTTCAGAATTACTGAGAATATTGCATGGCGTAGTTTGTACTTGTGACATCTTCATTATAACCACATATTTGTGTACTGAAAAATGAGTTCGGTCAAGCAATCAGTTGTGAATCTATTGCAATGACTTCTGCTTGTTTTTCTGAAAAAAATTCATAGGAACTGAATTTTTTCCATTTATTCTGTCTATTTATCTATGTTGCTTTTATCTTTCCATATCAGCTGAAATTCTTTCCGCTTCATTTCCATTTCTTTTCTGTCGATACTTTGTTTTCTTTCTTGATGTTTCATTTTTCATATTGAGTGCATATTATTGCTTTGAAATTTTAGTCAGAGTTGGAGGAAACATTCACAAGATCGTATATGCTTTCATACTTTATTTAATCATTGAGAGAGCTATTTTTCACACTATTTGTTTTTCGGAAAAAGTTGATAGTATTTCTATCATTTGTTATAACGGAATGAATCTTGTAATAGAGTTTGATCCATTTTTAGGATACGGATGCACCATTGTCGAAAATTCGTACTTCAGAATCTAGACGTTCCGCATTGCATTCAACAAAAATAAATGTTCTACCAAATGGTACTCTCATAGACGACATTGAAAATCTTATTGTCATATGGCTTGATAGTAATATCAATCGAAATGAAGACTGCATCGATACGGAAATAGAACTACATCGATTGACCGCTTGTTTGAAGATTTTCACGGACTCGAGCGAATGTATGGCGTACATAAGCACATTTAAAAGCAAACCAGCTTGTATTTTTCTCATTGTGTCTGGTTCATTGGGTGTCACTCTGGTAGAACATGTTCGTGATATAGACACTATCATCTGGATCTATGTTTTCTGTGAAAACGAGATATTGCATAGCTCATGGACCAAAGAATACAGCAAAATTAGAGGCGTCTTTGTCGAAAAAGAACGTCTTTTTTCAAGCCTCCTAGCCGACTTGGCCACCTATTCCGTTTATTTCACTCCAATGAGCATTTTTCAATCTGATGAGAATCAAAAATCTATTCAAGATCTTAATGAAGAAACTGCATCATTTATGTGGTCACAGTTACTCATACGCATTATTCTTACCATGTGTGACAATCGTGGCGACCGAGCTAAGCAAGATTTAATAGATGCCTGTCGTACACGATACAAAGATGACATATACGAACAAAACCGTATAACAGAATTTGAACAAACTTATAAGACTGGTGAAGCAATTCATTGGTACACAAAGGATAGTTTCCTCTATCGATGTTTGAATCGTGCTTTTCGCACTCTAGACATTGATGTCATCTATCGATTTCGATTTATCATCGCTGAACTACATGAACAGCTAGACAGTTTAACGCGTGCATCTACGTCTGATCTTGTAGTATACCGAGGCCAGATCATTAGTACGAAGGATATGAAACTTATTGAAAGATATCAAGGAAAAGGCTTTATCGCAATGAATACATTTTTATCGACATCAGAGAATCCTAGTCATGCAACAGGTTATTCGTCAGTCAATATGGATTTACCTGAAGGATTAGAATCAGTACTGTTCCGGATTGACGTTCGTCAAACACGACAACCATTCGCCAATATTGACAAATTAAGTGCAATGCCAAAGGAAAAAGAAATTCTTTTTTCTACAGGTACCGTTTTTCGAATTGATGAGGTAGAAAACTATGGTATTGGTTATGATGTTCATTTGACATCGACTACAGAAATTGAAGAGCGTTTCGATGCTCTCTTTCAACATTATTTAGATGAAATAGGTGCAAAGCCAACATTGGCTACTTTGGGTAAATTTCTGATGATGAAAGGTGATTACAATCGAGCAGAACATTATTTTCAATTTCTTATTGATGAAAATGGGCTTGAACTCGACAATGAGGGTCGTGCTATTTGTTATATGAATCTTGGTCGTATCTCTGACGAAAAAGGAGAGCATGAACGAGCATTGAATTACTATTATCAAGTGTTGACTGTGCAACAAAGTACACTTCCCAAAGATCATATAAACTTTTCTACGACTTACAACAATATTGGTGCCGTACAAATGGTCCAAGGACAATATAAAGAAGCTATCGAAAACTTTCAACATTCTCTTGATATCGATCTTTCACACCAAAATGTTGAACCGATAATGACCGCTAAGATATACAGTAACATGGGTCAAGCTTATGCTGAAATACGTGATTATGCCAAAGCAATCGAATACAGTGAAAAATCGTTAAAAATAGAACTACAAAATAATCGTAATACCATGAAACATCCTTCAATAGCAATTGAGTACCATAATTTAGGTTTATTGTATGAAGAAATGAATCAACATGAAAAAGCTATTGAATATTATGAAAAAGCGATAACTATTCAAAAAGCATCGCTTCCACTGGAGCATCCGTCGACCATAATATCTGAAAGTGATTTAGCTAATGCTTATTTTCAATCAGGACAACGTCAATTAGGTTTGAAGAAATGCTTGAAAGTGCTGGATGCTAAATTAAAACAGCGCTCTCTTAATTTTCCATCGTTGGCTAAATCCTATATAAATTTAGGTACTATGTATGAAGATTTGGGTAGATTAAACAAAGCTGAAGAAAATCTAAAAAAATCTCTACATATTTGTAAGCGTTATCTGACTAATCATCATCCGGATATAGCAACAACTTATCAAATGTTAGGTGATGTTTATGATGGGATGGGTAAGAGAAAGAAAGCTTTAACTAATTATCAGCTAAGTCTAGAAGTATATGAACGACGAATACCGCTTAATTTAACGGCAATGGCGAACGTTTATATCAGAATGAGTGCCGTAGAAGAAAACTCGATGAAAGCGATTGATTATGGAAGAAAAGGAGTGTCCATATTGCTTGACGCAGACAAAATCGATAAGGAAGCATTAGCTTTTGCGTATAATGCTCTTGGCTCTACACTTTTAGAAGCTAAACAGATAGAAGAAGCCATGATAAACTGTACAAAAGCATTGGATTTAGGATTCGAGTTGGTTAATGGTGATACAAGTCATCCATCGCTTAATAGTTACTATCATAACCTTGGTGCTATCTATAGTCAACAAGGCGAACTAGAAAAGGCACTTGAATATCAGCAGAAAGCATTGGAGATATTTATCAAAAAGGTAGAAGATCCTCAACATCCTGAAACAGGTCAAATGTATAATAATTTGGCCATTACGTATCATGAACTCAAGAAATATCAACTAGCGTTGGAGTTCTTTGAGAAAGCTATTAATAGCTTTAAGCAACCGAGTGCCGAAAATCCTCGTCTGCTTGCTCAAACTTATATAAATATTGGATCAGTCTATGAAGATCTGGATGAATGGCAAAAACAAGCGGAATACTATAAAATGGCGCTGGATGTGCAATTGACACAACTTGAACCCGATGATGCTGATCTAGTTTTGACTTATTCGTCTCTTGCTGCTATCTATGAGAATCGTGAGAATTATGCAACTACTTTAGATTATCTTGTGCCTATGTTGAATATCCAAACGGAAATTCTATCAAAGTACGATCTTGAGCTTGCTGATACTCACGAGAGAGTTGGAACATGCTATCATCTCACCAAAAACTATAAAAAGGCACTGAAACATTATAGGAAAGTACTTAAAATTCAACGCCGGCAAAGAGAACCGCTAACATCGATCTATCAATCACTCGGCAATACTTACCGAGAACTGAAACAGCGAAAAACAGCATCCAAATACTACCAAATGGCCATAGAGATTATCAATGAGAAAGACGAGACTAGTCGAACCATTGATGAGCATGCAGATTTGTGTCAATTATATCGAAGACTTGGTATTATTGAGCGACAATTAAAACAGTTTGACAAGGCCATGGCACATCTAAAACAATCGTTGGCTTTATACGATAAATTTCTAGCCAATGATAATCAATATAATGAACTTGTACGAGGCATATTAGAATCAATGGCTAAAGTTCATGAAGCAACAGGGAATATGTCGCTGGCTGAAGAATGTCGATAGAAGAAAGCAGCTATTATGAATGCATGCATATCGCGTTGTTGATATCATATGTATACTTAAAATTATCTAATACAAATAAATCCAACTCATACACAGAGGAAACAACTATTCTTTTTAATGAAGGGATGTTGTTGCAGTTTGCACAAACGAGATATGATGTGGAATGTGAATGTAAGATTGTTGAGTGGATCAGAATCAATTTAGAAATGAGCATGGATTTTCATTTCATTCTCTCACTACTTATCATGTGAACATTTATAATTATACCTGTGCTCTGCTCTGCTATATGATAAAATGCAGAAAAGAATGAATGACAAATCAAATACTTGTTGCACGCTCCTAGTCTCAGGAATTTCATTTTAAAATGACTGTTCAGTCAAAATAATTTTACACTTTGGTTTTATATTAGATGCTAAGCTACTGAAGCCACAAAAGAGTGTAAGCATGGATGTGAGTGTGTATCGATAGGAATGAAGAAGAGACACCAACACTCACACCCAGATGACACCACTAAGCCAACCAAAAGCTAAATATTATTCATACTGAGGATAGATGTTAGGATACGAATGTTGATTAATGCTAAAAAATTCTACGTCGCCGAAATCATTAAAAAAAACTAATTGTCAAAGAAGAAAGTCTTATAATGTGTCGAAGGCTTTAAAATATAAAATTTTGAATGCGTTGTAATTCATTAAAAAAACAATGGACATAATTGCATGATAATGTAGCTAATATCATGCATTGTAATGCGTGACGTTCTCAATAAACTATGATGCGTAAAATAGATTGCCTTTTCCTGTAATTAAACCCATCATATTTCTACAGTAAGACATTTCATTATAATCTCCATTTTTGTAAAAATCGGCTAGATGGGTAAGACATGTAAAAACCAACTGATTTTTATGATAACGCTGCCAAACAATATTTTTTGAAGAGTTGAATAACTAATTCATTACGATAGTGTCTACATCAGAAGTTCGATAGTTGAATTCAATGAGCAAAATATATATTTTTTAAATTTTCTATCGCTTACCAGACGCTTTTCAAGATTCTTTTACATGAGAAAAGTGCCCAATTACTTTCCAAAAAGTATTACTTTGCATAATATTTCTTAAATTTTTATTCATATTAGTTAGATATTCATGCTCCCAATTCACCTAGACTAAGATTATGTATTGTTTTAATAATATACTATTTTTATCTTTTTTGTCGCTCAAAATTTTAAAAAGTTCATATTCCCAGAATTTTAATTGAAATTTTCTTTTATTTTTTGTTGTGAAAATATTTTTATTATAGCATAAACAATAATCAAAATTGAAATCATCGATGTTTCTGTGAGATGTTAATTTAACTTATTCTAGCAACAATCTCAAAATAAGATTGAATTAGCAAATCTTTTTTTCAGCGCATTTCAGAAAAATCTGTGCACAGTCATTTAATTATAAAAATTTTTATTATATTCAATAATCTCATTATTCTTTGGATTTTTGAGAAAAAATAATTGTTCTATTTTGAATAGAAAAAGGAAGACACTATACTAAGTCAACTAAAATATCAGGACATTTATTTATGCTTTTTATGACTTTATAGTTCTATTGCTTTATACTCTTAGTTCTCTGTTCTCTATCTGAAATCTTCTTTTACATTAGTCAATGAATCAATTTACATAATGATTTAAAACAAGAGTACTTTATTTTGTTTCAGATTGTGATCGATATAGAAATATATTCATAATAAATCTTTAATTAAACAATGGAAAATGTACTATCAGGTTTGGTTTTAAATTTTCTGACACTGATAGTTGATGGATGTGTCTGTTTAATTTCGATTGTTATTTTTACTTACATTATAATTCATGTAATTGTTAATCGTACAAAGCCTGAAGACAAAGTAATATTAATTATGTGTGCTAATATCTTAATACTTATCTTTCTCTATGGAACAATCGTACTTTCGTTTTCTATGAATTCAATATTAGGTGAATTCTACGGATTAAATTCTGATTCTTCATGGTGTATATTTAATGGATATCTTATTGCAGTTATTATCGCTGCTATGTACAATGTTTTTGTTAGTCAGGTTATTATTGATTATGTATTTTATGAAACATGATTTATAAGAAATATATGAACTGTAGGAGTAGAAATTTAGATTCTTCCGCCCCACAAACATCGTAGCAATATCTTCTCCTTTCCAAATTCTAATCGATATGATCAAGAGTGTTAAACATAGTCCTTAAACAAAAGTCTGTCAGACAATGAATGAGAAACACCTTTGAATTCATGATGTTGTATTTTTTATCCCCTTTCTACAGTTATTGTAATATAGGAAGATGAATATCTACTGTTATGGATTCCTACTAACAGCATCTAGTAATGCACAAAACAACACATCCTCATCGTCTTTCACATTTTCACATCACAGAGATTAAGCTAATCAGAGGTCCAATCCGGCCAACTTTTTTCAGACGTGACCTGCCTGCAACAAGCCTACAACCTTTTCAGCCTGTCAAGGTCTGTCTACTTTTTAAAGCTAACTTCGTTGTAATAATATGATTTAATTAAGTATTAGTCTTCATTGAAAGTGTAACAGATTAATGGAACTAATTAAGGTAGCATAATTAAAAGTTCTCTCATGAATGTTTACAAGTATGCATGATACGGTGGAGCCTATTTCTTTTCTGTGCACCACAGTTAGGGATATCATTCTTCTTTCACTTTAAAATAAATAGAAATTATTAGTAATTTATATATAAAATAAATAGAAATAGTTTTTTTCTGATTACTTATATTTATAGATCAATATAATTTAGCACAGTTCATATTTCAAATAAATAATAACTTAGGATAATTTATATTTATTTTTAAGTATAAATTATAACAGATTTTATTTATTATAAATATACTTTATGTTAAAATCATTTAATATTCAATTAAATGGTAAGCTATACAATAAATTAGGTATAACTAATATTTCTTGGTGATATTGAATATCAACCATACAGAAAAGGGTGACAACGCATAAAAAGTGGAGAAAAATTCAACGAAAATAAACTCATACAAATGTGTACCTATAAATCTATTCAAAATGCATTGAAGTTTCCTATGGAACTCTCTTCCGTTCGAAAATCTAATTTCTAATGAATACGATAGTATGTTCATTTTTTGTAAGCTTATTTTCGTTGAATTTGAATTCACTTTTTAAACGTTTTGGAGCATATCTGTATGGCCGATGTTCATGATTAGCAGAAATAGGATAGTTTCATCTAATTTATTATTCAATTTACCATATATTAAATTATAAACTATTTGAAAACAATTAGTATTGATAATAAATATAAATGGACAGCTCTAATTTTAGTTCATTCAAGTCTTAGTTCTGATGTAAATCTATGAAATATCAGATTAAACACTCGAATCGTGTTTGGGAAAATATTTTCCTGGATGCTTTTCACTGGTGAGTTTTTTTCCTTCAATTTTTCATAACATTTTGGTTCGCTTAGAAACTTCATTCAAATTATATTACAATTAGTGTAATTAGCTATAATATTTATGGTAAAATAAAATAGATTGGATAATCAGAAACAGTTGGATATAATGGATTTAGCTACTGCAATTTGGAATTACGTGAGAAAAGTGTGAGCAGTGTGATGGGGGCTAATTCCACCAGCGATGATTTTCAAAATATTGTGTGATAGTTTCGTGCGGAAAAAATTCATTTTAGTAGCAAGGTTTCATTACCTATCCAGTCTCTCTTTTGTGTTCAGAACCTCTTCAGGCTGACAGTAGATTTGATTGTTTTCATCAATGTTTAATGTTTATTCTCAAGGGTTAGTCGAATTCGTCATATTCAATAGTCATCTTTGAGAAATGCTAAGTTGAGTTGTTTTTTTCTAGAATAAAATTCAATTTAAAAAGTAACTGTTATTTACAAAAATATAGCCAGATCCGACCTAAAAATCGTGGCCTGGTTCGGGCTCTGGTGCTAACTATTATTGATATAATATATGATACATAGTATTCCTTTTTCCTCATCTATATAGGTTACCTTTCGGCTATGTCGGATTGTCTATGCCACTCACAAATGGCTTCAACTCTACGGGCTTTATATGATTGTAGGCCCCATACAATTAATTATAGGATTTGCTCTTCAAAGTCCTGTACTTATCTGGCGGGATGTAAAATACATATCTACTGAGAATTATTGTTTCGTTCCATACATACAGTTACATGGAGCAATATGGACTATAAGTATTTCCTATGGATTTCCTCTTTTGGCTTTATTATTTATATATATTCGTATAACAATATTTCTTTATCGTCAATCAACTGTTCAAACACTTATAATACAACGTCGACAACAACGTGATTTACTTGTTATTAAACGAATTGGAATTACTGTTAGTATGTTGATTATTTTTGGATTGCCGAATTTGGTATTTTTAATACTAACATCGATGACAGATGTTGAATATGCACTTACTTATCGTATTCAATGGTTTATTGGTAGTTTATCCATGACAGGATTAAGCATAACAAATGTGGTTTTGACACCTCAATTAAAAAGGATTGTAATGAACAGATGGAAAAGAAATCGAGTAGGAATTCAAAATACAAATACAACTCCACAGAGAATTGTTGCTACTGGTCAACAAACTACTCAATGTTTCCAACCAAGATATTGAAACTTAAACATAAAATGCAAACAATTTTCTTTTTTTTTCGTATGATTAATATTGTAAAAAAATGCTTGAAGATTTTATTTCGAAGACTGAATTATTAATTATTAGAGCGTCGGTTTATAGAAGCTTCACAACCACATTCTTTGAAGGGGCACTCTTTCAAATACACTTTCTGTGAATCCTAAAAGTTGAAATTTATTTTTGAGGTTTTCTAGAAATCCTAAGCTTTGAAGTCGAAAATTACCAATAATGTATCCATGATTTATTGAACATTACTCCAACGATGAGCATTGGGCGCTTGATGATGCAATTGGTAGAAAGAAGCAGTCGCAGAATTACCTTTCTTCCTTAAAAATAAAGATACACAAGATTTCAGCCTCTTTTGACGTGGCTCAAATTTTTGAGAGACTGCTTGTGAAATATCGATTCAAGGCAATACCTAAATTTCTCTCGATCAAAAGTGAGCAAAAATAAATAATTTAACAATATGCCATAACGTGAATAGTGGCATCCTGATGAAGAAATAAATATTCAGCTTGAGACTGTTACATATGACTTCTGCAGCAAATCGTTTCTTGAACAACAAGTCTGATATTACCATGAAGTTGTACACTTTCAATGGTTCTCACAACTTTTATTAATCAGCCCTCATTCTATTCCATATCTCAGGAGAAAGCCTCATTTGAGCAATACGATTTTCACCGAAAACCAATATGTGACCAAGCTTTACTGCCCACACCCTAGTAAATCTATCCATCTCGACAGTAGCTCATTATCATATGTGCATATCTCAATATTCGATAAAAAGAATGCAATTATTCTACTGATAATCAATACGTTACAATAATTAAATCACCAAGCGTTATACAATCTGCAAAAAATATCAGGTACTCTGCATAGAATGTTTTCTCAAATTGGCACCATCGAATTTGATGTTCACATTTCAACATTAGACGTCAGCATAACAAATCATCATCTCCTATATTTTTCATTAGCAATGATTAAATTCCAATTAAGAAAAAGATTGATAGATTTGCTAGAATTACATTCACTTTCGCAAGAAAAAGAACTTCTCTTACCTATTGATTAGTACACGACGAAACTCCACTGATGATAGTGTTACTAGAATATTTATGTGGATGTACACCAAACACATATAAATAAATCAGTACTCAGAACATCCTCAACGCACATACGGCTATTCAAATATCTCCAACAAATTAAAGTTCAAAGACTGTACCAGTATCTTCTCTTTAACTGAAGTGCTAATGTGAAAATCAAAAAGCTTTATTTAAGTTTCAGACACTAAAATATCATACTCGGCACACAATCAATCGTTCTATAAGTCATTCCAACATTTTTCACAAATCACTATCCACATAGATGTTCATTTTTCTTTTTCTCTGCTTATTCCGCTCAATCAATTTCTCCAAACGATATTGAAGCTCGCTTCCGATTTGAATGCCTAAAGTATCTAGTTCGGTGAGTGTCTGTTTGACAAAATGCAGATGGAAATATTCCTTTCTCAGTTATGTGATTGTGGTAGAGATTGAGTGTGGTGAGTGTCTGTGTGAAATAGCACCGATGAGGATGTCAGAGAGATGCAGAGAGAAGAAGGGTTACCCGGTTATTTCGTAATGCATTCGCCAGATTTTGTGCTACTTTGTCTTCAATACAATTGCCTTGAAGATATAATCTTGTGAGTATCTGTTTGACAAAGCGCAGATAAGGATATGAGAGAGCAGAAGGGAGAATGAGGGTCTCTGCTTTATTTTGCAATGTATCAGGCAGATTTAAAAACTATAAAGTTTGATTAGGCAATGTCTATGTATAGTGTAATTAGGGAAGTTTTCTCTTATTTTAGGTAAAAATAGTTGTAATTGTTTTTAGTAATAATATGTTTAGAAATTAATAATTTTTTACTGCTTTAATTTATAATTCGTAATTAACTTTAATAAATAGAATAAAGAATTCTAGAGCATCTAGAAAAACATTTACTACGTCAATTTCGTCATTTTTTGCACCCTCCATATTTGCTCTTAATCCTGTTGGTGGGTGAATTAAGATATGGAAAAGAAAGAAAGTACAGTACAAAAAAATCTTTGTTTAAATAAAACTACAGAAGTAACGTGACTAGTATGGGTTCATTTTGGGTTGGAATTTCAGCTAGTGCGAGTTTTGGAAGATGTTATTTGAATTTGTTTCTATTAACTGAGAACTTGTTGCGATTACAAACAATTTCGATCTGATTTCTTCATTATTTCATTTGTTTTGTAAAGTTTTTGCTTATGTGGATGCTGTTTTTATCTATCGGTTAAGTTGAATATTAGGTTTTCTTTGAATTTTTTTAGCTTCTTCGCTAGATGGGAAAAAACTTTTGATGAAATAAGTCGAACAAGTGAAAATATATTGAATCTCAGTTTTGGAAATGCGAACGAGAAAAAGTAAAGAACATATTTTTTACACAAGAAAACTAGATTAAAATAACATAAGAATTAGCCGAACTGAGCAATGTTTCTACTAGAAATCTAAGACAAAGTAGGGTGGGGTGTGGGTGTTGGTGTGTGTAATCTCGAAGTGAGTGACTATAATAACAGCCATAGCCACACCCACACTCACCCACCCACACCCACACCCGACGACTGCATTGTACAGGATCATGAGAATCGATCTAAATTTTACTATATTGTTAATCAATTTCGTCGTAATAAAGAATTCGATGCTGCTATTTATCAACAATTACCAAAACAATGTTGTTCGTGTAATGGACGCATAAGTAAATATATTCGATGGTCGTGCTTATGTTTTACAATTTCAAAAGTTTCGAAGAAATTCAATATCTCATATGACACTTGATTTGATTGCTGTGATGTAATTATGGCATAATGAGATATGCCGATAGTCACCTATAGTGTGAACATCTTAAAAATACATTCGTAGTGTGAGTGTAATTCTAGAGCAATCGAATATATTTGATGAAGCTGATCATGATTCATAATAATTATCTAAATAGTTTCTTGCGATTCATTATTCCTTTTACTAGTGTGAATTATGTCTGAACCATAGTCGTTTGAATATCTTGTTTCTACGAAGGATCATGGGTTTATATTATCAAAGCAACACTACTATTTCAACAAGAGTTGAATCAAACTAAAATGTTCAACAGAATAATAGAATCACTAATTAGTTTTATTTTCAATCTATTTCACGCATTTGTTACAATATTCTGATGTAGTTGAGCAAGCGGCTTTTCTACTTCTTCTCGTCTTATCCATTGATATACATTTCTCAAATTCAATCAAAATTTGTGCACTTTAGCAACCTTCGCATCAAAAGTAACTATTTACTTGATTGAAGTTGTAAACAGAAAAAAAAACGAGAATGGAAATAGTTTAATGATCCATTCTGTAATTTATCGAGTATCTTCTCAAGTGCTTTTAGATGAAAATATGTCATTTCATCTCACTTTTCTCTATGCATCTATGAAAAAAAAATATGCTAGGATTTCAGAAGATATCAAAGAAACTATAGCAACCGATAGTCGCACCGTACATAATCGTAACTACTACTTAGATGCTGTTTGTGCAATGGAAAGAAATATAAATATAACTGATGTATAAGTTTCTTATTAACTGTTGCATTTTATAAATTAATCTTGACTTTTTTCTCAATTGACTAATGATCTCAAATAAAACATGTTCATTTTCATTCTATGCTTGGATGTAATCAATCTAATTACACTAGAGAAACTCTGTGTTTAAATTGAATCCCAACGATCATTAAAACAGATACCACAAGAACCTGTTTATTATATGGTTCTCTTATTCCAATCGATTCTTAACGTAGAAGTTTGATGTAAAAAAAAAAACTAGTCGTTTTGTTGGCAGAAATGACCAACATTTACATGCTCTTGAAAAAGAATTCAATATCAGTGACTGGTAGTGATCGATGCCGTCCGAAAAAGACATGCTAATTCACATAACATTCATATAGATAGGAAAAAATATACAGCTAAAATTTACTTGGTTTCAAAGAACTATTGGAAACTATTGAAAAAAAATCAAGAGTCGTTTCATCTTTGTATCAATACCGTATACGGTATACTTCCATGAAACTTTATTCTATATATTTCTACATGATCAATATGTACAGACTATTGATATGAAACTTCTCTCTTCGCAATAATATATATTGAAATCCAAAATATCACCTGAGAAAGCCCTCGAGAAGGGTATCGATGTGATTGTTTTGTGCAGATATAAGCATGGAGTGTACATTTGGGTGTGGGTCAATCGAACAAAAACAGCCATGCACACATTCTTGACTGCAAGAATGAGGTGCCACACTTTGGAAATTACTCGAAAAGACTTTCGTTCGACTTCTTTAGATGTTCTTGTCACAAAGGCTGCGACAAACATGCCGAAGCATGCTATTTTATGCCACAAAAATGTGAATTTCGTATTTTTTGTATAAAGTATCTGAACAAAATGAAAACAAAAGTAATGTCCTTTCTGCTCGTTCTCACATCAAGCAACATAGCAAATTCAGTACTGACAGTGAAATAGAAAAATCAGAAAAAATAAAAGAAAGTTCTAGGATTTCTCCAGTTTAAAAACTTTTTGAAGCTGTAGAATATATTAAAGTAGATCAGATCACTGCTTATATAAAAGATATAGCTCGAAAAAGAAACTTATTTCACATATTCACTTATTTCAATGGTTCGATCATATGTAAAAACCCGATGAGCTCAATTCTCTGGAAAATAAACAAAAACATTGGCTTCTTGCAGAGTCACATATATTCTCCCTCATAAATAATAATCATGAAGGAACTCTAGCTCTATAAATGATAGTTCACGTATTTTTTCTAGTTGATAATCATTTTTATCTAATTCCTTTTTATGTTCAAGTGAAATAAACCATCAAAGTTTTTTCCTTGTTTCAAATAAACCCAACCACCACCATCATTATTACAATGAAATTTTGTAAGTATGCTTTTTTTTAGTTAATAAATAGCATAAATCTTGACGTCTAATATGTTTTTCTAAATTATCGATTCGATCCATTAAAGTCTTTGGTAAAAATTCATAATAGTTGCATGATGAATCAATAACATTTGAAGTTAATTCATTGTGTTCCCATTTTTTCATCATATTGTTGGCATTCTTACATATGTCTTCTGTAAAAAAAAATCTTGTCTTTTGTTTCATTCCAAGAATGTATCTTACGTTATTTGATAACAATTTCATTTCTGCTGAATATCTAGACGATTGATTGTCATGTAATACTTTCATTTTATTTGCAATAGAGATAAATCGCTAAATAACAAAAAGAGACGGGTATATACTCGCACAACTGCAATGTCGAGTACTTTGATGGAAAGAATAAGTATGCAAAGTTTCATTGCTGATGCATTTCATAATTCTTATTAAGAAGTAAAGAAATAAAAATGTTATAACTAAAATACGATTTTATTTTGAAATTTAACTATATTTTGGATTTCTATCAGAAAAAAATTGTAATTTTTTTCTCACGTTTCTTGTAAACTATCATAAAGCAGATTAGATCGATGGAGAATGTCGAAGAATCTTTGAGGATTTTTGTGTCCTTTCGTTCACTACTGGTGAAATCATCCAAATATAATTTCCATTGGGTCAGATGAGCAATAACTGCTCATAGAAATCTGTCGGGTGCGTATATACTCCATAAATAGGAGAGAGCTTCAATCTTTCTTGTATTTAATGTGAAACTTCTCTTCATTTTCATACATATTGCTATCTGTTATCTCCTGTACAATATACTTCTTCATGAATATTGTCAACTTTATTTTATGCTGAGCATGATTCCTTTCACATGTCAATAAGAGTAACGACTATTGCAGCAATACAGCATCAATGATTGGTCATCATTAGAAAACAGATTATTGCCGATGAGTAAAACCAAGCGGAAGTACAACATAATCTCGTTGTTTCGAACTTTGTTTTCCGAGGGTATGTTTGATGAAGAATTCTTCCTTAACTTGGTAATATATACGAAACTGGAATTCAATTATATACCTACCAGATGTCCGATAACGATTGATACGATGTGAAAAACTACAATCCGTCTGTAAAATTTCCTTTGAAATATTGAGCACCTAGAACCAGACATCGAACAACACTTTATCATATCAGATATTCAGTAGTGAAAAAAAATTGTGGATGCATTTTTCCTATTGGTTAATGTCTGCAACGATAATAAGAATTAAATTTCCTTTTTTTATGAAAAGCCTAAAACTTGATATTCATATGGAATATCGTACAAATTCAGGGCTATCAAATGCTGACGAGAGAACATATATGGTGCCATTGCTAAGACGGACCGAGAAATAATAAATTTATTTCCAATATTCAAAAGATTGATAAAGCAGAAATATTATTCTTGCAAAAAAAAAAGCAAATAAATCATGGAAGGAGTTCATTCTAATCATCATCATCGTCTTCTTCTTCGTCATTCGCTTTTTCGCATTCACGCAGGTCGATTTCCACATAATCAGAGCGTATTTTCCGTATTGCACTTATGGCAAATGCTGTGTATGGTCCCACTAGTACTTCTTTCTCAATGGAATACTCGGATAGTTGTTCAATATCAATACCTGTTCGTTCATTAATAATTTCGTAGGTGCATAAGGCTGCCATTTTTACTTGACTACCGTGTTCTGTTTGACGATGAGTAAGATTATTTTGTGCAAAACTTTCGGCTATTTTTGGATTTTTTGTTGTCGACATAAATGCTTTATTCATTACTTTTCCTCCGATATCATACTGTTTAAGATCATCTTGTGTAATTGACATACCACGATAAACTTTGCCTTTGAACGATAATTTTGCTAATGCTGGATGATTGAAAAAGAAATCGATGAAATATGTAATACCAGAATTAGTGCCCTGATCGAAGTGTTTTGTAGCTAAATATTGATTTAACTTTTTATAAAAATCCGATTCAACTGTATAAGCTTTCAAAAGATAGACAGGATTTTGTTGCGATTCTGCATAATCGAGAAATTTACCGACTTGTTCAATATCTGTATGAGACATTTCTTCTTTGATAAATTTCATTCGACGATCGATATCTTTCTTTTTCCAACCGAATCCTGCATGACGAAATCGATACTCATTCGCTAGTTCTTCTGCCGCTTCATCACATTTCATCCAATCAATGTGACCTGAACCATCATCACTAAATCGATTCGATGATTCACGAAGAAATAATTTTTTTATTTCTTCTTTTTCGGCTTCATCATATGGCAAACACTTGTGTATGTTCGGTATAGAACGACTAGCACCTCGTTTCAACAATAATTTTACAATTTCTGTATAACCATAATAGCATGCTGCATGAAGAGCAGTGGAACCGTTTGCTTGAATTTGATCTATTTCTTCTAAGGTCATTTTAGGTAATTGTTCGCGAACCTCATCCACTTTTCCGTTACGACACGCATAGTAGAATTGACTTGTTGTTGATGATTGAGTCATGAATTATTTTTCTTTTTGTTCAAAAAAAACACTATTCGTCGAAAGAAAATTAAAAGTTTTATTCTTGATTGAATTGTATTAGAAATAGAAAGAAATATAATAACCTTTCGATTATGAATAAAGAGCTACAGGGAAGAATTCGAATTTATCTTAAAAGTCTTAGTATAGAATCTAAAAATAATATAACAATAATATCGATAGAATTATATATATTATATTCGTTCTAATGCAAATGTGAATCGTCTATAATATTCTTAAAATAAATCTTCTATTTAGTCAAAAAACTTTATTTAGTCTGAAGTTTTAATTTTATTGATTTCAATGGTTAAATTCAAGAGTGCATCATCGAAAATTTCCTGTTTGAAATCAATAACTTTTCTTTTACCAATAAGATGATTCAACCAGCCTTTTACTTTGTAATTTTTTTCGACTATCACCGGTATAATGGGATATCCATTTTTAGAAGCATATTCAATTTCTGCCATGCACACCTTTGATATTCGATATTTAGCTGATAAACAAGCGAGAAAAATTTTTTTTTCTAATACTGCTTTTTTCATTGATTCCAGTCGATGCTTTCCTTGCTGTTCAAAATATACATTGAACTTTTTTTTTTTCAAACGATTGCAAATTTTGCGACAAAGACTTATGTCACTGGAATCATCACTAAAGCTCATCATAAGATCGAATGAAACTGAATCGTCCAATAGATCAATTGGATTATATTGATCGTCGATAGCCGTGTCGTTGTTTTCTGTATGATCTTCTTGCTCAAGCTGTTTCTTTTTTCCAGCTTGCTCTAAACGAAGCGTTCCTTCATCACCTAATTTCCAAATAATGCTACTAGGAAGTATTTTTTCTTTTTGGGAAGCTTTGCTTATGAATGTCAGAAGATAATCAATGAATAAATCATTTAATTTTAGTTTCTTACTCAATGCAGGTGCTACCGATAAAAGTTTCCAAATGATTTTCAAAGCGGTGACTCGAATTTTTCTTATAGTGTCCGAAGTTGGATTATCTTGACAAATAATGCAAGAAAATTTTGTGAGAAATAAAATTCCTTCTTTTTCTTCGACGATTGTTTTTTGTACTAAATCATTTGTAAGCAAAGCTAAAAAAAAAAAAAGCAAAAACAAATTAGATTTATAAATAAACTTTTTTCTAACTTACTCTCAAGAATTCTCAATATGCTATTCAATCTAATACCTTGGTACGATTGTCGTGGTTCTCTGACAGATTTTTCCATATATTCTATGCAAAACTTGGTTAATGATTGTGGATCAACTATTTCATCAACTTTCCTCGAATCTAACCTTACTATTAATGCTTGTGAAGTAAATTGAATCATTTTATCTTTCATTAAACGAAATTTTGAGCAAATTTCAATAATATTTTTTCTTTTCATCTGAGACAATATTTGTTTGCTAAATGTTAAGTTGTATAATAATATTATTGATTGTAGAACTATCAAACTTTTGACATCAACGATTCGACCAGTAATTTGAACTAGTGTTTCATTCTCTAAAAGTTGTAAGATTTCATCTATTATTGTTGTTGTCAAAAAGTTTTTTCGTGTAGATGGTGTAAGTGCAAAATGATTTAACAATTTAATATGATAAAGTAAGGCTTCGATATGAGCATTTCTTGTTTCTTCTTCACCTAGAAATAAATAAATAAATAAATAAATAAAGTTGTACTAGAAGATTAACCTTCGTTTTCAGTTAGATTGGGTAAATTTTGTTCAAAAATGAATTCAGCATGTTTTAGCATTTCGGTGCAAAGTAAAGTGGCTACTTCATCTTGTCGTTTGTAATCATGTCGAATGAGAAATTCCGGACAATCACGCATGAAAAATAAATGTTTTGCTGCAAGATTACTCTTAGAAATTTTAAATTGATTAATAATAACTTTCTCATAAACATTACGATAAAATTTCGATGATAAACATGCTATTATTGGATCTAATAATGATTCTACTTCGTTTGTTTCTTCTGTTGTACAAACACGAATTTGTTGTGCAGCATCTTTGTATCGTTGCTCATTTGGTTGATATCCATGTTTTGATAGATGGTCAATGTCTCGAATTAATTTTTCCAAAAATGGTCCTCTTACAAACACATGTTTTGCATTATCTTTCTCTAGAACAACAGAGTCATTTGTATTAATCTCTTATGGAATCAGACGCTAACAATGACTAGAGAACTTTCTAGTCTATTTTAAAGAATCATAAGTATATACAGTGGCTACCAAAATTATTCAACCAGGTTTATTTTCAATTTTTTTCTCCTACCTTAACCGCTAGGAGCTCTCTAATTAGTGATTTGAATAGAGAAAATGGTTTCCAACAAGAATATAAGAAAATAAAAATTATAATTAGATTCCCAAGAACTGGGTCTCCAGAAAACCAAAACCCTAGTTTTTCAGCATCCAGAAGCCGTGATNTACGACGATTTTCTTCTTCAGTTAATACGAGTCGATCAGCAAATTCTTGTCGAATTATATCCGATAAACGTTCGCGTTCCTTTTGTAATGTATCAGTGATCTAATGAGAAAAAAAAATATCATAACAAAGTTAACATAGAGATCATTCAAAGATAATATCGATTATCTTTGAAATTAATATTAAATTTTCTATCTATTTTTATCTCTTGACAATCAAGAAAGACTAGAAATGATAAATGCTATATGTATCTGTAACCTGACTTTTTTCATTTAAGTACTATATTGAAGCTCTACAGCCAAAGAAAAAGCTTTATACATATCAATAATGTAATAAAATAATTGATGTCTTGGGTAAAACACAGATGATTTTGATTCATTTCTTTCATTAAAATTTAAAAAAACGAGCTGTTTCTTCTTGGATCTACTTCAACATAAATCTATGCTCATTCAAATTAACATCCTGTAGCAATCAAATGTTTGAGTAAGAAGCTCATAGATATATTGAATTCATTTATTTTTTAATTTCTTCGTTATTCTCACATTCTGGATTGTTTTCATATGAAAATATTAGATGTAAAAATATTCAATTTTCTTATCATTCGCATTTCAAAATCTTTTAACATAAGCGGTTAAATGTATTCTGTAGAACCCACAACTTTGATTTTCTGTTATTAATATAAGATACAAACAAACAAAAAAACAAGTGTTTTAAGATATCTGGCTATGAGTACACTATACAAATATATCAAGATGGTAGTGCTTTTTTTGGTGCACTATTGCCATTTGAAGGTGTTGCAGCAATTAATTTTCTTTGTTGTGCTAATAAACCTTCAAGATGATCAGCTCGTTTAACTGCTGCTTCGAATTGACCACGTAATGCTTGTACTTGCTCATCTTTTTTACTAATTGCTTGTTTAATTCTTAAGAAAAAAAAAATAAAAATAAAGAAATTTATTTAATAAATTAGATTTAAATAATCAATTTACTTTTCATGTACAGTTTCTAATTCTTTTTCTTTTTCTCGTTGTAACAATTCAATTTCTTCTTTTTTCCTATCAAATTCTATTTGTTGTCGTGCACGTAATTCTGCCATATCACCTTTGATACGACGATTTTCTTCTTCAGTTAATACGAGTCGATCAGCAAATTCTTGTCGAATTATATCCGATAAACGTTCGCGTTCCTTTTGTAATGTATCAGTGATCTAATGAGAAAAAAAAATATCATAACAAAGTTAACATAGAGATCATTCAAAGATAATATCGATTATCTTTGAAATTAATATTAAATATTCAATAGTATAGAATAGTTTTGCCTTCTTATGCATTTAGGCATCCATAATCTAATAGTTTTCAAAAGTCTTATTTTATAGAGAAAATATTTCTTGTCAAATCTCGACAGCTGAATTTTCTTTCTGCAAAAACAAAAACATGATGTCAATGGAAAGAGATTAGTTATTGAATGCTCTGTTAATGTATATTCAATTGTGGATTTAATGGGGACGATCACCCTTTTCTTCCGAAATATTTTTCGATTTTTCTCAGAAGAAAACGTTGCAAACTGAGTCAAGACGTACTCTAATTGACTTCTAAACATGTTTTATGAGCATGATTCACTATTATCTATATCATAATAATGCTATTCAACACGAATTTCACTTCGATCTAAAAATCAATAGATCTCAGTACATCCTCTTTAAAAATTATGATGAGTTTACATTTTGACATGTATAATCTGAATGAAATGGGCAGTCGGCGGAACGACCGATCGATTTTTGCTGGAAGTGAGCCTCTCTTACATGGGCAGATATAGTGAATATTTTAATCAGTACACTGTTATTTTTCTTCTCGTGACTTTTTTTTTGTTCTGAGAATAGAAGAGAGAGAAAAGTAAGTCCGATGTAACATAGAAAATAACTCATCTATATATTTCTAATTGTGCCGTCAATGATAAAAAGAGAATAATTAGTCGCGCTATTTGACATTACTCTTTAAAATCATTGAGAAACGGCGTCATGTCATTACCTTACGCTTGATGAAAAGATCGCATTGATCAACGACTATGCCGATTGAACTGGGCTATCACAGCGCAAATTATGTGAAAAGTATAAGGTATCAAAGGATGCTATGTACAACATTCTTCAATGAAAAGACGAATACAAATATCATTTCTAATCGAACGCGAACAAAGTTGTCAAACACAAACTGCAGAACGAGTCGGGTCACAAGATCGATGAAATCGTTTTCTCAGGGTGAAGGTGAGAATGATAGACATCAGATAACTAGAGTAAAATATTGGACATAGTCAAAGGTCTAAAGACCGATTGGTAATATATACAGTGGCTACCAAAATTATTCAACCAGGTTTATTTTCAATTTTTTTCTACCACCTTAACCGCTAGGAGGTCCCTAATTAGTGATTCGAATAGAGAAAATGTTTTCCAACAAGAATATAAGAAAATAAAAATTATAATTAGATTCCCAAGAACTGGGTCTCCAGAAAACCAAAACCCTAGTTTTTCAGCATCCAGAAGCCGTGATTCATTTTTGTTTTAACAGACTAGAATGATAGAACAGCCAATTCTCTACAAAATGAGACGTCTCAGAGCTATCTACGGTCTTCTCTTCAAAAGTTATAAGCATTACAAAAACCGGAAAAAACACGTTTTTAGTCGATTTTTAGCAATTTTCTCATAGATTTCACTTTTTTCGGTTTTTGTAATGCTTATAACTTTTGAAGAGAAGATCGTAGATAGCTCTGAGACGTCTTATTTTGTAGAGAATTGACTGTTCTATCATTGTAATCTGTTAAAACAAAAATGAATCACGGCTTCTGGATGCTGAAAAACTAGGGTTTTGGTTTTCTGGAGACCCAGTTCTTGGAAATCTAATTATAATTTTTATTTTCTTATATTCTTGTTGGAAACCATTTTCTCGATTCGAATCGCTATTTAGATAGTTCCTAGCGGTTAAGGTAGGAGAAAAAAATTGAAAATAAACCTGGTTGAATAATTTTGGTAGCCACTGTATATATATTATATATTTCGATGACTGTATGCTTTGTCGTAGAATGAGAAAAAGAATATAAACTTTGGAACTGGAACTGATATAAATTTTGTAATTATACTCTAGGTTGAACATCAATAATCATATAATTACCGGAACAATGTTATTCTATAGAAAAACTATATCTCTTCAAAATGCTACAGTTTTTACATTTCTTCACGGTGTTCTTTCTTGAGATATGTTTGCTTCTACAGTCGTAAATCGAAATTTTTGTACTTATTTCTAAAAGAGACGTACCTCTGATATTTCTTGCAGCAATCGTTGTTGTTATTTGTTCTGATTTAATAATAATACTCTCAAGAAACTGGATGTAAGCTTCTTTTAGTTTAGTAGGTTCATTATTTTCATTAATGGTTTCTTGTTCTAAAATTGTTGATAATGTCATTGATGCAAATCGAATCGTATTATCTTTTGCATCTTCTAATTGCAAACAGATACTATGAAGATCTTTCTGTTTCAAGATAGAAAATATTTGTATTTCATAGGCCATATTATAAAGTAACATGAGACTATATGCAACAATACCAACATTTGCATTAAATAAATGTTCGTATTTCCAGACGCTATGAATCAATGCACTCTGTTCTAATATAATTAGTAATTGATCGATAATGGAACTGCGAAGAAAAGATTGTCTGCCCGATGATATCAATGAAAAATGATACAACAACTCAATATGACAGCTCAGTGCATGTATTATTATTCGTCTGTCTCCATCTTCATTCGAATCGATATTGGTATCTTTAAATGAATACAAAAGAAAAACATATTCGTTTATAAAACAAAAAAAAAGTCAAATTGTTTTTAACCTATTGCGAAGAAATGTTTGTCGAAAATTGACTTCGTAGCATCTATGATTGTTTGACACAATAAGTCAACTATTTTCTCTTGTTGTAGAAAATCATGTTGAACAAGAAATTGTGGACATTCATGAATAAAAAAGAGCTGTTTTGGATTCAATCGAATTTGATCAAGTTGAATTGTTTGAAATACATCACAATAATATTTCGAACATAAACATTTTATAATCGGATTGAGTAATTCATCGACAATGTTTAGTTTTGAACAGAGGCGAACAAATCTATCTATAACTTTATATTTGACATGATATGAAGGATATTCATTTCGAGATAGATCCTCAATGGCACGAGTCAGTTGATCAAAAAATAATTTCGTCAAAAATATATCCTGAAACTTCGGTATAGGTAGTTCGGTTTGATTTGATTGAATTACGGGTTGATCAATTTGTGTTTCCTTGGAAACTGAAATGAATTGATGTGAAAACTTTTTAAGTTTGGATACTTTTGTTATGTCTGGTTGTCTTAGCTCAATCGGACGTGCTACTGGTGCATTTGGTGGTAAACGTGCAGTTTTCAAATTCGGTTTTTCTGTAAGTTCATTTGATTGTCTACTGGTTTTTACTATACATTCATCTCTTGGATTTGGTTTTTCTGTTACGGGAAATATTTCTCTTGATACTTTCCCATAGAATAATTCAATTGGCTCATTTTGATATAAACATAATTGTGCAATGAGATAACTAGTAGAAGAGAAACAATCTTCTTCTTGCTTAATCATTGAAATTGTTTGTGAATGATTTGATTTTGTCAAAAGCATTTCGAATGTTCGTCCAATACAATTGAAAATTGGATGATTTCTTAGAATCAAATTATCAAATAATCGAAATGCATTCAAACTGGCTAATTCATCACAGATAATTGTCAAAATATGCATACCATCGGTTTTTTTCTTGTTAGGAGAAATTTTATTTAAATAAGAAACAATATCGTCAAAGATTTGTTTCAACTCTTCAACTCCTAAAATTTGTTGGTTTTGACGAAAACAATTAACAATAGTCGAATATCTTAACAGTAAGATTTCCATTGCAAAATAGAGTCAATGTGAGATGACTAAATTTTTATCTAAAAGCAAAATAAATATGTTTTGATTGTGAACTAAAAAGTATTAATTTTTTTTTTCAATAATTAATTATTTCACTGTTTTTGAGTTATAATGAAGCGATTTTGTTTACAAATTAGCTTGACTATTACAAAATTGTTGAAACTCGATGATATTTCGTATTTTTTGTTTCATAAAGACTTCTGTAACATGTTTCTTTCGTTTCCATTGACGGTTAGGATCATCAAGTTCCTGGATCTTTTTTATTTCTTCTGGAGTTTTCCATTGATCATCAATATCATCATCATCATTCGTAGCATTTTCATTATTTACCTCACTGATAGAAACGGTATCCCAAGCTGTTTCATTTGTCTCAAGTTTTGTATCAATTAGATTTGCTTGTTTATCAGTTTTAATCAATAGTTGAAAACAATCGTGTGCTTGCTCAGTTGTAAACCAAGAACCTGGATTTAAAGATGGTATGGAAAAATAATCTTTCGTTGATAAATTATCAAATGTTTCATAATCATGTTTCCACCAGTCATAATCAGTTGATCGATAAATTTTCAATCGAGCATCATTGATGTCACCAGTAGGAGTGAACGGTACGATATTTTTCTTTATAACATTTGGTGCTCTCTGTAGCCAGCGTTTGACACAATCCAAAAAGTCATCTGCGCATTTTTTTGAATATTTATCTATCAATGATAAAAAGAAAAAAAATTTCAAAATTCTCGCATAAAATATGCTTCATAATACTTACTAGTACTTTGTTTGATTGTATATTTATCATCATTTGGGTTCATATAATCATCTGGATTTTCTCCTCTCAAAATTGCCTCTAAATCATCGACAACGAGTGTCAAACCTCCAACCAAAATATCTATTTCATCGCTTGGAATCTTTTCATTTTCTATTTGTTTTTTTAGTTGTTTCTTGTAAGTCTTTTCACGTTCTTTTTGTTGTTCATCAGTTACTTGTTGCAATTTCATTGATACATGACCAAATGCAGCTTGTTCGTAAGTTGTATCCGTTTGGTTTACTACTGATACTATGGGTGTTTGAGAATAAAATTGACCAGTCACACCAGGTTTTGTATGACATAACTACAAGACAAATTGAATCAAGAAAAGCTTTGTTATTTTAGAGATGAGGCTCGAACGATTTTTCTTTCAGTTTGTGCGAAAGGGGCAAAGGATCCTTTAAAGTACTAAAAGCGAATTTCGACGGTATTCCTTAGAAATTGGTTAAATATTTTCTATAGTAAGTGATTTTTTACTTGATCTCAGTTCATACACCCCACCCTTATACAGTGAGAAATATTTGAACATCTGAAGAAAGATTTTCGGTTTAATATGTATACTATGTTGGACAAAGAATATCATTCTACTTACTAGTATTGATAATAATTTATCATATTCCAAATCAAAATTACCAGTAAACTCAACCTCTATTTCCGTATCGAATATATCGTAGAATAATTGAGTGTTTTTGACTGAATTCAGCCAAGAATTGTCTTCTGTATCCTGGAGAACATTGTTCATTGCGGCAGTTGGAATGATTTTTTTTCTGATTGATTTAGCGTAGTTGAGATTAGTCATACAACGTGTATCTTTTGGATAGTTTTCACTGAAATAAATTAACATCAAATCTGATCTCTCAATTTGTGGTTCAGAAAGAAATCTGTTAGAGGATGATTGGCATAATAAATAACCATCATCAACTAATAGAGCTGCAAGATGTTGACAAACAGTTTCGTCTTGTGGACAATAGCTGAACGCAATGTTATAACTACTATTGCTAACCGAATCGGACTGCCTCTTTCCCGTGATAGAAGATCTTGAGACGCCTAATGATGGATTTTGTATCGATGACTTTAACTTCAATATTTCGGACATTAATTTGTATTTTTCCATTGTCTTCTCTACATTTTGTGTTGAACCAGTTAGTTGCAGTTGAAAATTTGTTAGGTTAAGGTTTGGTAACACAGAGTTTTCGAGACAATATTTATAGAAGACATTTATCATGTGTTGATTCCATTTTCCCAGATCTGATGCATTTTTAAGAATTTCAGTTGTGGATATGTTGTTTCGGATGTAACAGTTGATTTCATTCTCACATGGTATCAAGTCGTAACCTTTTGTGGTTGTTAAGGTTATGTGAGTTGCTAGAAAAATATATCATTTCAATATTATCTTTTATAGGAAGCTGGATATAATAAAATACATGCTTATCCAATATGTCTAGTCCTTTAAGCAGTTGGTAGTAAAGATATGAGCTCAAAAAATTCAATTTTTCAAGAGTTATTTTATCGTTAAAGGTCAAAAAGAATTTGGGTTTATGTTAAAATGTAACTATCATTGATCGTCAACTTAACTAAGCATATGCTTTCGAAAGTTTATTTGTTCAAATTTTTGAAAATTTCTTCTACAAAACTGAATTCATTAGAGTCAGCCCGAACCGATGGATGATTGAATAATCGACCTAACACTCACTCTTCTACTAAACATAATTCGTTTTGTTGAATTAATTAGAGCTATCCTGTGAAAGTCAGTTTTTGTGAACTTTATGGTAAGCATAATTAATACTGACTCGATACTGAACAGGGAAATTGAGCAAAACCATCTTCATCCGACTGCAATCGAGTCATTACTTGAAGAAATTCTTTGCACAAAAGGCTTTGTTCATGATTGAAAGTTAACAAAAATCTCCAACGTGATCTTTTTAATTCAAGTACTTGTTTCATTTCAATAATAAGCTCTTCAGCAAATTGCGATTGATCACGAAAATTTTCCCATTCACATGTTGAAAATGCAATCTTTTCAGCATCAGGACAATTATTAGTGATTGTTTGTGCGACATATGACATAAATTTTCCAATCGATCTTTTTAATTTTGCACTTGCTTTACCTTCTGTTCTAGTACGATGTGACCAACGGCAAAATACAATTTTTCTACCCGATGGTGTTTCAAAGAATCCATTCTCATGCATATGCTCAATATGTTCTTGAAGTGCTCCTGCATCTGTAGAAACCACAGTAACATCCTTCTGAAAGGAAAATTTGTATTCATTACTGAAAAAGATACTTTCACTCACTAAAAATGGCAAAGAATAATCAGCAGTATAAATTTCTACTGAACCATTTAGCACAGAAATTTTTTTTACAGACAATGATGAACAAAATGCATCTGATTGTCGAATAGTTAGACTTGGAGTTGATGATGTTTTTGTTAATGCTTTAGGTATCGGAAAAACTTGCATTTCAGCCTTTGATTCAATTCTTTCTATACGACAGCAATAATTTTTAGCAATTTCATTCAACTGTGAGTTGTTATCGTCAATTAAGGAAAGAGAATTTTCAATCATTTGAATCGAACAGATAATTGTTTGACATATAAGTTCATAAATGCGTTGTTTAATTTCTTCGATTCGATATTGAGGTGCATAAAATTCTTTCTGTCTTATTCGTATTTGAACATTATCATTCTTATAATCACTCTCAATATCTTTGAGTTGTTGCAAACTATTGTCTACTAGATAGTCGTGCTAGAAAAACAATGATAATTTTACAAAGTATCAAATGAAATGATTTAATTACTTGATCTGAAGTCATTTTGATTCCGAATGATTTTATTGTATGTTTGTTGACGAAAAATTCTATTTTCTTTTTCACTATTTTTACACATTTTTTTCGTCCAAACAAACTGACTTTGATTTCCATTTGAAGGGGATATTTACAATGAATAATAATTAATTCTGGTTGTTTTGTTGTATTTATGAGTTGTTCAATTTCGTTGATGAAATTTTTTGTTTTTTCACTAGGCATTCTCATGTATTCGACGTATACTATTTCACGATTCAATATTCGATTAATGATCTCTTCAGAAACTGTAAACGATTCATGACTGAAATATATCACTTGATAATAACCAGAAAACATTTCTGTTTTTTCCCACACTGTAAATATATTTTCATTGTTCATTATTTGTTGTATTACACTAATTGTTGCATCAGAGAAAACATGTTTCGACCAATAAATAACTATAACACAATAGGCATCGTCAGAGATTAATAGTGAATATTTTACCTTTTTGATCCGTAGTTTCGGAATTGTAGATTTTTGTTCTTGTTGTTTCGAAGAGAATTTTAATGTCTCGACAGCCAGATTTCACTTGATGTTTTATACCGATCATAGTTAAGATAATTTGATTTCGTTCTAATTCAATCGAACATTGTATATCATATGTTTGAGATAAATGTCGTTGCAGTTTTGTATGAAACAATGGGTTGTTGAAAAATTTTACATTGGCTTGATTACTGTCATGAGAAATAGTTAAACTTTTTGTGTAGGTTGCATTTGTACTTTTGTCAATCATATGAAATTCATCTGTACCTGAAGTTATCCTAGCTGATGACGTCGAAATAGCAGAACTCTGACGCCTAAAAACAGAGAAAATGAACATGAGAATGGCATTATTATGTAAGTAATTTACTCGTTTCTTCGTCGAGTCCAGTCTTCGCTATGCTCCATTTTCCATTCTTGCAACTTTTCTTTGAATTTTTTAATAGTTGCTTTATTTTGCTTTTCGTCTTTATCACTTACAGACAATAGCTGAATGATTGTATCATCAGTCAAACTTAATAGAGCTGTACCATCAATTCGTCTACCTAGAGCAACAAGAATTAGTAGAATTTTCTTCAATATATTCGATACTAGTTGGATTATAGATGGATGAAATTGTTTAGTAAGATCCAGAAGTATTCTACAGAAGTTATTCTTTTTTAGTCATTTTCTACAAATGAATAAACATTAAATTTGGGATTGTCTAATGTTTAACAATGAAGCAATTTTGTTTCGGTCTAGTTTGTAAGCATATATAGATTTTTCTTATCTTATTAACACAGTCACTTGTTTTTTCTCTTCGTCCATGTTCTAAATAAAATACCTGAGATGGTAGACAAAACAATTTCTCAGCTTATTACTATTAGTTCTTGTTCCTACAAGCAAACAGTAAACAGAACGATAAACAAGTTAGAGAAAGATGAAAAGGATATATTGGTTCGCTTCATCTAAAATAGCTTCTAATCTCTTGCAACATCAACACAAGTTTAGATCTGATATGAATAGTTTTAGAAGACATATCATCCTTTTGATAGCATCAGTTTATATATAAAACAAAAAAGACTTTTTCCTACTCTTGAATGTTTTGACAAATAGTTCGAAGCCACTAGTTTTCAACCATTCTCCCACTTGTTCCTTTGTCCAGTTTGCCATTTGTAGAGATATGATTAACGAAGAATCTATTCGTCCCAGAATCGTTCACCGCTTCTTGACGACCAAGTCTTGTTACATTTAAGATATAAACAAAGAGAATAAAAATTACTTTTGGATTACTAATGTGCGAAACTTGCAGTCACTGCACTCCTGCTTTTTTTGCAGTAACTTCTATTTCCGCCAACAATGTTTTTTTTTTGCAAATTTCAACATCATTGAGCGAGTTCATAATCGAAAATAAGTATGAATCCAATATGATTGGTTTTTGCATACATAAAGTTTTATTATAATTAATTAGTTCATTACTAAATCGATCGATTACTAGTTCACTTGGTGACCAACTTAGGTTGTGATGTGTGCAAAGTCGATCATATTGGGTTCAGACGCGTTTTTATTTATGAAAACGCGTGACGATATTGAAATCGGTGATGTTTGAATAGGTGAAAAATATCTTTTTACGAAAATGAGACTGATTCTTTTTTTTTTTTTCTTCACGTGTTTTAAATCAATTGAAAAGAGTAAAGAGAAGATGAAAGTTAGTCTACGAGAATGTTTCAACAGAAAGCAAAAAAAAAAAAATTGCTCTCAGTTTTGATGTTAAAAGAGTTTGAAAATAGAAGGCGTCATGCTGTTGTTTTTCATTGGAATCATTGATTTCGTTGGTTTACAGCCTAGTAGATGAAGAATTCGAAAAGATATCTTCTCTTAATAATGCTATTGTGAAGATCATTATAAAATAGCGGATGTAAGTTTAAATATTAGCTCTCTACATTCCTTCTCATTGAGATGAAATAAAGTTCAAAATTTAACGAAATCGTTTTTCACGGAGAGATATCCTATTTAGTGTTGAAAAAAAAATGTTTTGAACAGTAATAAGTTGACTTCTAAACACCAAATTATTTCATTAAAAAATGTGGAACAGGAAAAAAAACAACACTTGAGCACCGAATTCTTTTTCAAAAAGGCTACTGATATAGAATAAATCTTATTGGTGATCATGTGATGAATCTATATGAAGCAATTTGTGACAAGCTTATATGATCTTCTCTTTATCCTAAGCAACATATAGCCATTCTCACACCCATAAAAATAATCTGTAGCTCTTGTGCTGTGGTTTTTATAAATGACTGTACATTTCGTTCTCTAAACCGGTGTTGGATGTTCGAAAATGTTTATTCTCCTTAGTAATTGACGATTGAGAAAGTGGTTTTTATTAATTTATACTACCTCTATATTAAACGCGATATATTTAAAATCCTAGTAGTCTTCTATTTAATGTAAGATATATAGGGTGAACCCTTAAACAGTACAACGATAAAAAAATGAAATATCTCTGCATCAATACAATCGAATGGACTGAGTTTTTGATTATTGATAGAAGCTTACTCGAAGACCTTTTTTTGCACACGGATGAGGTAAAAAAATACTTGTGTTAAGTGTATTATTACTGTCCTCATGAAAGCAATTTTACCTGTTATCAAGTAAAAGAAATACGTGCGTAACGTTTCAGTACTGATCTAAGAGAATAATAAGAACAAGTCAAAGTGAAACTTTACTAACGATTTTGTACAATGGAACACTGATTTTTGCAAGAAAATTCGTGTTTGAGTATCTGAATGGCGCTACAATTGTATGTCTTATTTATCGGGCATTAATTTCAGCATTTAAACTGACTAAAGTTTAAAAAATTTGCTCTATACACATTAATACAAAATCATTCATAAAGTTCGTTTTGATTTGTTTTTAATTATTCTCTTAGATCAGAACTAAAAGTTATCTATTAAACGTTACATATATAATTTTTTTTTTACTTGATAACAGATAAAACAGCTTTCATGACATGAATAATAATACACTTAATGCAAGTATTTTTTTTTTAAATCAGCCTATATGATTGTACTAATGTGGAGATACTTCATTTTTTTTTTATCATAATGCTAAGCACGAGCCACCCTGTTTGAAAACAAATATAATTTTCATGGCAGGCAATAAATTGCCGTTTCGAGCATGAAGATCGTCGAACTTTTAGTTTTGTTAGGAGCAAAACAATAATCAACAACTTTTTGCGTTTTGTGTATAAATCAAGATGTAGGGATAAGACACATACCTCTCTGAAGTCAAGTCAATTTAATGATTTTGTTTTTGATGAAGTTTAGATAAATTTGTGTCCTTATGAATGTCGTTCGATACTTCTGTTAAAGAAATTCTATTTCTTTTATGATAAGAGAAAAAAAATTAAAAGAAGAAAGAAAAAAATTTTTTTTGCTGCCATAAATTGTTTTGTTTCGTTTTCTTCCTGACGAAGAAAAAAAAAACAGCTAACAACTCACATTTCTTCAGCAAAAATTAGTTGACAAATGCCATGTAATCAAATTGTTTTGCTTCATGCTCACTGTTTGTTACTCACGAGTCAAACTCTCTTTTCTTCATCATAGTGTTGTTATCTGAAGCACTTTTTTTGTTTCTTTTTCTATAGACAACAATTGTTCAAGCAGACAGTTATTATAAAGCCGTGTGACCTGAAATTTCTCAAATTGAAAATGCCATCAACTGATATAGATACAACCATTTATAAGGTCGACCATCCCGTTCAAAGAAAATTTTTGGACAACCCAAAATTTTGTCTATGTTTACAAGAATACGTGCAAAACTCACTTTCAATAGAAATTGTGATAGTTCCGATGCAACGACGAAGATACACGTGGAGCTTACCAGGGCACTCAGCTAACTATAAGATTAATTTATTAGGCACACATGAGAACAGAACAGAAATGGAACAGATCGTAGCAAGTTTTTTCAAAAAGCTATTCGAAACAATACAATACCAAACATTTACTGATAGCAAATGTTTGTAAATTTAAAATATATTTACCAGAAAACAGAATGCTTAACTTTTCGACTGTAGGTCTTTATTAATATGATTTAGTTTTATTTTAGTTAAAGAATGGCTACGGTATTCGTTAGCAAAAGAAAAGAACCTTAAATGTCTCCAAAAAATGATGAACGAAAAAGTCCGTCATGTGTTCACTGTATGTGAAATGGATGCTGAACATTCGTTAAAAATTTATTATTTAGCCAAAGAATTATTCAGTGTTCCTAACATCGAAGAACTCAATAAAATAATTCAACACAAAATTTCACAAGAAAAGATACTACTACCATTTCCACATGAACAGTCAAAAAACATTGTGAAGGAATCAAAAATAATAATAATAGAAAAAGTAGCAAAATACGATAACATTTCTATTTCTTGGATTTTTACTGATTCAGTGTCGAAGGCAAAACCATATGAAATAATTTTATTTGGCTATTACAAAGTTGTAAATCAATTGAAGAACGAATTATTAAATGTGATCGCTAAGCGTAATGTGATAAAGTTCAAACTAAAGTCATTTGACGCATGCCAAGTAAACAATCTTTTTCTCTTTTGACTATCATTTATAATCATTTTTTATTACTATTGAGATTGATTTTCTTCTCGAAGCGCGTTCTGGAAAATTAAGAAAAATTGAAAAAAAATACGAACAATTCGGTGTTAAAATACGATTACGATTGAGCGAATTTTCTGCACCTCAACACCTAAAAGATGAAATCGAATCTTCTATTATACAATTGCTAACGAATTCGACATCCAAAACATTCAAGAGTATACAATTATCCAAAGACGTAGCAGATATAGCCGAAAAAAATTTGAAACATATTGCTCGCAAATATCACTGTTCCATTATGACTAAATTACGATACAAATCTAGTTGTTACACAATACCAAAAGCATTGACGCCCAATATACAAGTGTTGAAATCAATAGTGGAGCAATCCAATAATTTTCTTTCTTCGTTAGACGTATTTAACAGAATTAATGTGGCAAATGGATCAATTGAAATTCGTACAGGAGACATAGGTCTACAAGAAGTGAGTTTTAAAAAGGGTTAAAAGCTTTATTTTTCAGAGTCTTTAAGGTTGATACAATTGTTATTCCTACCACATTCAATGGATTGAAGGAGGGTGTGATTGAACGAGCAGGTGTATTTAATTATGAAAAGACTTATACAGATGAAACAGATATAAAGTTTACTAAGACAAATGGAGGTAATTTAAGGTGCAAACGCATTTTATTCTCTAACTGGATGCTATCTACAACTACAAATGATGATGATGAAATACGAAAATCGATACGAACTTTTATTTCAAAAGCCATTGAATATGCAACAAAAGAAGAGAATTCAACATCAATTGCATTCGCCGTTTCCGATTCATACATTAATGAAATCATTGTAGCACAAGAAATGATTGATACGGCAAAACATCAATTAGAATTCAAAAATTTACAACTAAAAATCTCTTTTATCCTACTACCGGAACAGCGAACTTTACATAGTCAATTCTTCACTCTAATTGGAACAATGCAAGATATGTATGCACAATTCGATTGGCCAAATACAGGTAAGATACATATGAATGAGAATATTATTTCTTCAGCTCTCCATTTTAGTTATCAAGATCACGCTTATCGCGTCCCAAGTTGAAGAGCTAACAAAATGTCAGGAAAAAATAAACAACTATTTGAAGAGATGTACTACGTCGAAGAAGTTAACAAATCCAAATGGCATCTTCCAACATTGGGATCAATACACCATAAATGTCTTCTATAAGTATTGTAAAGATAAATGCGTTTTGTCACAAATTGATAGAACAACAAGAGAACTCGAACTAATTGGTCCTGTTAACAATTGTCTTGAAGTTGAACAAAAGTGGCGTTTTCTATCTGATCTGGCAGCAGTAAAACTACTACTGACACCATCAATAGAACGTTCAAGTTCAGCAGCTATTCGTTCAGAACAACTTGCTACTAAAGCTGCCATCGAACAGGTTAAAGTCTGCAATGTTATGCTCAGTTATTGTCAGGAAGACAGTAGAAAGTGTCAATGTCTGATTAATAAACTTACTGAAGAGGGTTTCTCTATTTGGGCAGACTCGGTAATTGCCGAGCAACAGCGTGATATTTTCTCTCAGATCGACAAATCAACCTGTATCATTCTTTGTATTAGTGAGAATTATTACGAAAGTATGTCGTGTGAAAAAGAAGCTCGGTATGCTTTTCAATCAGGCAAACAAGTTTTCTTAGTGAAGATTCAAAACCACCCACTAATTGGCTGGCAACGAGAAGTATTCGAAGGAAAATTATTTTTTCAATTATTTGGATCAGAAAATCATTTTGATTTGGAATATGAGAAGTTATTACTTGAAATAGTAAGTATCGTCGAAATCTCCATATGTTTTTAACTTTAAATTTCTTTTTTTGTAGTTGCAATATATCAAACTGGGCAATACTTCTCTCCTACAGCAAAGATCTAATCGTCAACAAGAGAACAACGAAGAACATCAAACTTTGTTGACAGCCGAAAAACGACGGTCTTTATACGAAAAGAAGATTAGAACACTTACAGATATCGGACGTATAGACGAAAAAGAGATGAAAACTCTAGTTAAACAGCTACAAAGTGTTCTTACGAATATTGATGAAGATGGAAATGAATTAAAGAATGAAACTGAAGGAAGCAGTGAAGATCCGTCGAGCGATGAGAATTCCTCAGGTAAATTACTTGTTTGAAATATTTTTTCTGAATAAAAGCCAATAACCACTTGTCTAAATTTTTAATAGAGTTGGTAAAGTGGATAAAACGCTGGCTAAGAAAACCTACGAATATTACAAAGCAAAATCTACCACCATTTTCAGCAAGCGGTGATATCAATGATGCTGTATTTCCAATGCCTGATTATGTTTTAAAATATCTAAATCAGTATGTTGAGTCATTTTCATTAACGCAATCTTCACCGGTCAAACTTCACAATGTCTTTGAGTGTGATATTGTTAAACGATCAATTGAGCAACCATCTAAGCGAGTCTTATTTGGACCAACTTATGTAGATAAGGAGCGTACTTATGGAATATGCACGCAGAAAGTAGAGTACGTTGATGGTTTGTCACAAGTATTTGCTACCGAGCGCATTACTACTGATGATGATTCACCGAAACCAACACGTTTACCGGTACTATTGCCCGAAATTCCATTATTGAAGAAAAATCAAATGATCAGTCGTCATAAACCAGATGATTTACATAAAATGAAAAAGGAGCAAAAAGAGGTCACTAAATACTCCGCTAAAAAATATATACCTCTTACTCGACAAGAACTGAAAACTTATTTCGAAAAATTTGCACAACGCATGCAGGAAAATGCTATTCAATTTGAAATATTCTGTTCGACAACTGCCACCGTTGCTCGACAACTTCGCCCAACAGAATAACAGCAACAGAACTGCTTACTTTTAAATTATTCTTTAACCTCGACTCCTTAAATCCTTTTTTAAAGATTGATTCCATAGCTATTTTTAGAATCTACCAACGAAGCTGTTCTAATTTCATAAATTGGAGAATAACTAGAACAGAAAAGTCCTAGAAGTATATAGTAGCAAGTTGTAGTGCGGATGCGAAGTGGAATGCTAGTGTACATGTCGGAGTCAAACTGGATGTAGATGTGATGGAAACGGCCTGTGAGTGTGTTAGTTCGAGTAGATATGTAGATGAGTATGGGCATTTTTGGTAAGGGTGAGCATATCGGTCTTCATTTAGAACTGAGTTTTTGTTGTTGATGTGCATGGCTGTGGGTAAGCATAGGTGAGAGTGCCGGAGTTTAAGCCAGTGTTTATATGAGTCTGCGTCTAGGTTTTGGTGTGAATGTGAGCGAGCATGGATGTGTGTCCAATATGAGTGTGACATAGAGATCCTCTTATCTCATACGAAAACCCACATCCTTTCCACCAGATGAACTGAGTATAAAATGAGGAATAAATTGATCAACCATATTCAGAGGTTCACTAATTTAGAATCCATCAAATCACAATCTTGGGTCTTTTCTTGGAATGTGATGAACGTGATTTAAGGCTTCCCCTAAAAAAAAAGTTACTTTTCGTCGGAATGGTTGAAATTAAGATAAATGTAGAGGAAGATAATCCGTGAGTTGATGGTTTGTAAACGATGAAAACTTTTACTCGGCAGCTCCTTTTTTCTAAAAATTTTTGAAGATTTCTATCGTCTCCTCTTCGAAAAATAATCTGTTGCAACAGCTTATTTTAACTGCAGTTATATGACTTTTAAATGGATTGTTTATCTCTATATCAACAAGCGATAGCAAACAGAAGTTTCTTCTAATTTTCTTTTTCCAAATTGATCTTCTTCAAGATCATTCACATAGAATCTCAAAAATGAGAATGGTCAAGTTATTCTAATACTACAGCCTATCCAAATTTGTTACATTGTTCCACTTTGTTCGTTTTATCAAGCACTTCAAAACCAGTTATATCATACTTATTCACCTGAACACGCTATGTCGTGTTCGAAGAATCATTTAGAATAACTTCTTACTCAAATAACAACTTGCTTTGCGCGTAGTAAGGACACATACTATAGTTCATTTTTGTTTTTTTGGTATAATAGAATGATGTGCACTAAATAATCAATAATTACATGAAAAGATAAGTCATGTCAAGTAAGTTACGAAAACAACTTTCTTTCTTTTGAAATTTGTAAAAAAAAAAAAAAAAAAACTAGAAGAGCCAGAATTTCGTAGATGAATTTCTGACACTCCATTTCTCAATACAGCTGGAGAAGCAAAGAAAAATGTTGAAAATCTATTTGACATTTGCAGATTAAAAAAGAATGTTACATTTTTATTTGCACGGAAAGTTTCTATGGAAGCAAGTGTCATAGATTTAATTCCTGTCAACAAAATCATCCAAACAATCATCAAGCCAAAGCATTGAATGTGTTGCTATTCAATAAATATAAAATCAAACAAATCGATAATGCTGTCAAATAGTGATTCAGATTATTGTTTTCGTCGATTGAAACATGATATGAACGTAAATATTCGATCTTCATTTGTAAGGTGGAGTACTACGACAAGATTTCGCACGTGAATACTACTACTTTGATATTGGTAATATATTCAGACAAAATGTGGTAGAACTTTTCTCGTGCTGATTCCTTCACATCAAACTATTTAGATATATTAAAGAAGTCTTGTCTATACGTATTTCATACTCAGCATTAATTGAAATAAAATCTCTAGAAAGAATTTTGACAATAATTCGCTTTAGAGTAATTTTCAAGAAAGCATATTGTTCAAGGTTTCAGTCAATAGAAACGTTTTAAAGAAATGGAAAAGTTATTCAATGAGTATCGAAAACACCTTTTAAGAACTCTGAATTGAAAACATTTGAATGATATGAAAAATCTCACATAATAACGTTATTCATTTTCATCATTCGCTACCGAGCTATCAGAGAAGTTTCATTTGTATTCCTACTGCATATATTTATCGGTAATATTCAAGAACCCATAGTGTAACATTTAAGTATATGGATTATAGTAAATTACAAATTGGAATAAAAAAGTTCGATAATGATTATGGCATTGTTGTTCAGTGTACAGATTCAAACTATGATCAATGATCATTGTCACATGATTGTATTCATTGTTGATGGACATCAATTCGTTTAACTAATTTCAATAAGATACCAATTGAAAGTATCGTATTACAGTATTCGAAGTTTTGTCTTTTATATTAAAAATTCCAACAAAACATTGATATCACATAAAAATAGAAATATATTCATCTTGTATATAAACTTAATTGAGAAACAATGAACAACTTTGTTCATACAATCAATACTATCGACGAATTGTGATATCGAGTCTAATCAATATGTAACAATAATAAGAATTTTTTTTGAGATGCAAAATATGAAACGATAAAATTTCAACAAAGAATAAACACATGACAAATAAAACAAATTTAATAGATGGAGAATAATATTAAGTTCGAACTTAGTTTGCTGTTTGGTATAAGTACTCCGAAGTCTTCAGTAAAGATTTATTCCAAAAACATAATTTTTCATGTCGCCTAGATTTCTAAAGTTCATTTTTTTCCAAAACTATTAGCTAAAAAAATTTGTCTTTTTTGACTATTTTTGATATACTGCATTTTGATACCTTTTTAATGGAAATGAGTCAAACATATTCACAACATTACTTACAGTCCGCATTCAATCCCTGTTTGTCATCATGTTTTTCTTTCCATTTGTCTTTTTTTTTGCTTATTTCTCTTTTTATATGAAGAAAAGACAAAATCGATGAAGCGAAAAAAAAAATAAAATCATATTAAAAATTGTGCACAATGAATGATATAGAGTGCATCAGATTTCTTAGAGAATTAATACGATATGAAGACTTTGTCTAGTTTATCAATCAGAAAAATTGAAAAAATTCTGATGGTTCTTCTAATAATCTTACTTATGACTACTGTTTTTACTTTTCTATCTTTCTGTTCTTCATACTTCAATGTAATTTTGTTCCGTAGTAGAAGCGTACCATTTCTCACCATGTGATATATTAGTAATGCATACGCAAAGTAATAATAAAAACGACGAAAAAGAAGAACATTTAAGAAAAAAACGTCAGTTGATAAAAAACTCAGCCGCTTTCATTCAGTAACTTATACGCAATATACTCAATCATTGATCATACCAAAACTATCATCAAACGTTGCAGATTTAACTTAAATGTAAGTAGCCTGCCGGTGTGGCTCATTTTTTCTTGATTATGTTACCAAAGATAGTTAATATACACAGTTTCCTAAAGAAAGAATAACGATGTCCATTTTTTTCTATTGCATGTAATTCTATTCATCAGAAGATATGACGAGTCGAAAGAAATAATAGAAATCAAAAAAGGTCATAAGAAAGTATGGGTATTTCTTTTCTTTTTACCCATACACACACTCTGAACATATCTGCTCTGAGAGGAATTTTTGAAGGGGGGTAGAGCTTACGTTAGTTGACTGGAATCGCGATTGGAATTGAAAAAGAATCAAAATCAATCTGCTCTACTCTGTGAAAAATTGAGCCCGAAATTCTCTTCTGCTTAACATTTCATATGCTAATCAAGAAGCTCAAGCAAAATCTCCACTCGTTTTCATGTGATAGCATCATCTTGTTATTGAATGCTGCCTAAAATGTTGCTGTATTTATATTACCAGAATCATTCACTTAAATATGTTGTTCTTTATATTACTCACTTTCATGATACTTTGCTCATTGACGACTCAGTATCTTTTCTCGGAAACCTTAGCATGCATTGTTTGCATGTTGAGTATCTAAGAGTTTATTGTCTTTAGTTAAGAGACATAGCAGTTCCTTATTTTTCACATCATAGACAACTCATCTACAATATGTAGAACCAACAGTTCTATCAGAGTCATTGAGTGGTCTTTTTATCAGTTTTGATCGCTCTATCATTTTCTGTTTTTGCCATATTAAATGATGTCCGATTGAAAATGGCAGAATTACTCTAAGTACCTAACATTCTGCCCTTGTACCGCACCTTCCAATGAGCAAAACATGCTACTATATCAAAAGAATCAAAGCTTTTTCTTGAGTTCTTCATATCGCGCACAAAAATAATAAGTTAAAAAAGAATCTCGAACTTCTTTTTTCCATAGGTAAAAACATATGTAAATTATAATTGGATTTCAATTTTAATCTATGCGATCAATTGTAGGTCTTGGAACCGACGCTAATTGGAATGAACATATGCCTCATGACAATGAACATGAGAGAAAAAACATATTGGGTTGATGCAAAATTAACGACCGTTTTTGTTAGCGATCATTTTATTCCCGCTNAAAGAATGTTTGTGAAGTAGTGCCTCTTGCCTAGTCACTACATCACAAACATTCTTTCAAATAGCAAAAAGAAAAGAAGAGAAAGCGAGAATATGATCGCTAACAAAAACGGTCGTTAATTTTGCATCAACCCAATAGCTAAGGAAAAAGATCAGCAAACACGAGAGAGAGAAATGATCGAATGAAAAATCATCGTTTTGAAAGTGTGTCTCTAATGGCTATACGATTTTATTACTCTTTGTATTGAACAATAAATGGTGATGCTTTGTACATAGAGTTTCTGGATGTCAAAGAATAATGAGGTGCCCTCTGTTTAACAGCAAAGAGTGAAGTTAGATGATAGCATGGGCCCGGTGATCTGTAAGGTTCTGAATAACGGAGTCGCGAGCCAAATGAGTAAGCGGGTGATGATCGAGTTACCGCCCTCATCGTACCACCTACGTTGTATTCGCCTGGTCCTAAGCAAAATAAAATTCTCTTTGTCTAGAAGTAAATGGTGGTATCTAAATTTACCAGGAGTAACGTCGAGTGTAAGATTATCACATCCAACATTGAGTGAATGTT